TGAAATAAAACTTATTTGCCATTCGTGTAACAGGAGACTTCAGGGACCCAGTGCCCTCAGGAGTTACCTTGTAATGGAGGAGTGGAGAGGAAGCCCCTGGCATGGTAAGGTTATTGAGTACACAGTGACCTGTATGGGTTCCAGAGAGCCAAGTTCAAGTCTTGCATCTGCCACCAGCTTGCTGTGTAACTTTGGACATGGCATCACCTTCTCCGGGTCTCCCCATTGCCAGCCACGAAATGAAGTGGTTGGACTGGACACGAACCAACCTCCCGGGGCCACACCTGGGGACATGGCCAGCCAACAGGGCATGTCCACAGATGAAAGTGTGATGTGTCCTGGCACAGGTGGAGCTTGGGATCCATTCATCATTCATTGGAACATCTACTGAGTGCTGACTTTGTGCCAAGCTCCTTGCTATGCATCAGGGTGCAGAGCCCTGACTTCATGAATTACAGTCTAGTGGGTGGAGAGAGATGGTCTCCAACAAACAGTCAACGAACGGAGACAATTCTTGCATGCCCAAAGTCCATGACGGCAATAAAGAGTGCTGCGGTCGTTAGGCAGTGACTATGGGATGCAGATCCCCTGGCCGTTGCCCCGGAGACACCCAAAAACCCCAAAAAAAATAAAAAACCCAAACCTGTTGCCGTTGAGTCAATTCCGACTCATAGTGACCCTATAGGACAGGGAAGAACTGCTCCATAGGGTTTCCAAGGAGAGCCTGGTGGATTCGAACTACTGACCTTTTGGTTAACAGCTGAACTTAACCACTATGCCACCAGGGTTTCCAGGAGACACCCAGGACGGTGCTATTAGATGCTTAGCATGTGTGAATTGGATTTAGTGTTAGCGGTAAAATTCACAGACAGGACCTCTTGGAGTTGTGACCCCACATGGCCACATTATGGGCCAGAAGACACCATTTTGAATCCCAGCTCCACCTCTTACCAGCTGTGTGACTTAAAACCAGTTGCTTACCCTCTCTGAGCTTGAGGCGCCTCATCTGGAATCAATACCATGGTAGTGCCTCCCTCCCAGGGCTGTGGTATTAAACAAATGAAAACAGTGCAGCTTGGGGGTTATGAGCCAGACAAGTGGGATCGCAGTCCACAGTGGCCCGGGAGCCAGACCGGGGTTCAAATCCTACCGCTGCCACTTGCCAGCTGTATGACCTTAAACAAGTTACTTAACCTCTCTGAGGCTCAGTCTCCCCATCTCTAAAATACGCATGATAAACCAGCCCCCTTGTTGGGTTGCTGTAAAGATGAATTAGACTGCAAGGTATATGGCAATAGAGATTGCTGATTGTCTTTCCCACATCCACTCTCCCTGTTCTCCTTAGTCACGAACCCCAATTTATAGCTGATTTGGGCAGTGCTGCCAAAATAAAGGTCTGCCTTCCCCAGCCTCCCTCACAGCTGGGTGTAGCCATGGACGAGGTTCTGGCTTAAAATTTAAGAACTTTCCAGAAGATTCCTGTGCATGGACATGCTGGTCAAGGTTTCGGGGAGGGCTGCTTCATGGTAGTATGGTCAGCAGAATGACAGCCCCCCAACGAAGCCCAAGTCCTAATCTCTGAGACCTGAGGGAAAGACAGCTCTAGACAAAGTCACAAAAAACAAACACCTAAATGGCCAACAAGCACATGAAAAGATGCTCGTCATCAGTCATCGTCGTTTTTGTTAATTGCCGTCCTGTCGGCTCCAACTCATGACAACCCCACGTACAACAGAACAAAATGCCACCAGGTCTGGTGCCATCTTCACCATAGTTGCTATGCTCGAGTTCATTGTTTTGGCCACTGTGTATTGTGAGTGTCTTCCAACCTAGGGGCTCGTCTTCCAGCACTATATTGTTGTGGTGTGACGTCAAGCCAATTCCAACGCATAGTAACCCCATGTGACAGAGTAGAACTCCCCCATAGGGTTTCCTAGGCTATAATCTTTATGGGAGCAGATCGCCAGGTCTTTTCTCCCTCAGAGCTGCTGGTGGATTCGAATTTCTGTTAGCAGCCAAGCGCTTAACCGTTTCAACCAGAGCTCAGCACTATATTGGACAATATTCTGTTGTGATCCCTAGGGTTTTCATTGGCTGATTTTCAGAAGTAGATCACCAGGCCTTTCTTCCTAGTCTGTCTAAGTCTGGAAGCTCCACTAAAACCTGTCCACCATGGGTGACCTTGCTGGCGTTTGAAATACCAGTGGCACAGCTTCCAACATCACAGCAACACGCAGGTCACCACAGTACAGCACACTGACAGATAGGTGGTGGTATATATTTTTACCGCAATACAAATACACACACACACACACACACACACACACATACACATATATAGGAATTATAAAAGGAGCCCTGGTGGCACAGTGGTTAAGTGCTCAGCTGCTAACAGAAAAGTTGGTAGTTCAAACCCACCAGCCACTCCACAGGAGAAAGATGTGGCAGTCTACTTCTGTAAAGATTACAGCCTTGGAAACGCTATGGGGCAGTGCTACTCTGTCCTATAGGGTTGCTATGAGTCAAAATCGACTCGATGGCAATGGGTATGAATTGTAAAGAGCTCAATGAAAGAAAAAAACCAACTCCACTAAAGACGCCCAAGCACGCATGTCCTACACAGGCGCCTGCAGGTCACACCCTGCAGTAGTTTGGAGGATCATTCTCTAATCTGTTTGTTTTTCCAAAGCCTGGACCCTTGTTCACTTGCCTTGGCCAAATGTGGAGCAGTAGCATTTGGAGTCAAGTGTTTTAGCCCAAAATCCACCGTAGACTCAGCTATTGGAAGATTCTTCTGCCAAAAGATTGTTTTCCTTGCAAACAGTTTCTTTTCTTGGCTGGGGGAGCACTCTTTTGCCTTCAAGTATGAAGCTCCCATTAACCTCTTTGATCTTGCTAACCACATGGCAGGGGAAAGCTCGCAGCTGCTCCACACACGGCGGTGTTGGGGGCTGCGCTGATCGTGAGGCTGCCGTTCTGTTGCCAAGCCAAGCTGTCACTGGAGGGGAAGACAGTTCGCCCATCCCTAGAGCCATGGTTGGGGTCTGCTTTGTCAAGAAGTAAAGAGAAACTCATCAAATATGAGAATTGTTTCTAGCAGGAAGATGCCGATCTGTTGCTGGTTGCCAGGCCTTTCTTCCTAGTATGTCTTAGTCTAGAAGTTCAGCATCACAGCAACACGCAAGCCTCCACTGACAGGTGGGTGGTGGCTGCACATGAAGTGCATTGGTGAGAATTCTACCACTGAACCACTACTTCCCCCTAATGGTTTTAAGAGTGACCCCAAAATTCTTTGACAGTCCTCCCATCAAGAGAAAGGGTCTATATCCCCCTCCCTTGAATCTGAGTTCTGTGACACAGCTTGGTCGATAGAATATGGCAGAAGTGTTCCTGGGCCAGTTTCTGGGTGCAGGATTTAAGAAACTGGCAGTTTCTACTTCCTCTCTCTGGGGACTCACTCTTGGAACCCAGCCCATGCTCTGAGGAAGACTGAACAGCCTGTGAGAAGGGACACATGGAAAAGAATGCAGCTCCCTTGCCCTCAGCCCTGGCCAAGCCCCCAGCCAACAGCCAGCACCAACATGAGTGCGCCATCTTCAAGAGGCTCCTCAGCCCAGCTGAGCCGCCCCAGCTGACACCGTGTGGAGCAGAGAGGGGCCTTTCTGCTGATTGCTGCCCAAATTGCAGATTTATGAGCTAAATAAATGGCTGTTGTTGCTTTAAGCCACTAAGTTTAGGGATGGTTCTTAAGCAACTGGAATGGATGGACATGTGACCCTACTTAGCCTGTCAGAGTATAACAGGCCCCATCCACAGTGATGAGCACAGGAATGGGTATGTACCTAAGTGAGGCCAATCAAGGCTCTGTCTGAGCTAATTCCAGACTCTCGCTTTAACAATGGAAAAAGAGGGCTTCTCTCTTTCCACTGACCTTGGCACTATTGTGTAAGCCAGAGGTTCTCACGACCATCTTTCAGTAATATGGAGGGGAGCAGAAAGTGGATCCGGATGACATCACTTGCATCCCCGGATCAAGCTGTTCCTGAAGCCATCACACCCCTAAACTTTTCAGTTCTATGAGCTAATAAATTTCCTGCTTGGCTTAAGCCAGTTTGAGTTAGCCTTTCTGTTACTTGCAACCCAAAGTCCAGACCTTCACATACCTGGCACCAATATAAGGGTGTCATCAAACGCTCCCCTCCACAGGCACCAGTGATGTCTAATACCCCCATGGTGCAAGGGGGACAGACATACCCAGTCCCAGGTTACTCACTTCACAAAGGGTCCCAGGCCTGACGCCACTAACCCAGGGGCAGTCTGGGTCTGTGGGAAAAGAAATGAAGCCTACTAGAGTGACCAGCTGACCTCAACAGCCCTGGGGGCTGCCAGCCTGGCCAACCAGAAAGTTTGTGAGCTGCTTCGACCACCCCCACACTCTTCTTCCTCCCTTGATCGCCCACCCTCCCAGCATCCCCTCCACACACAACCTCTTCCCCTCCCCTCCCTGCCACCCAACCACATCCTGACACATACGTAGGCTGGAAACTTTATTATTATTATTATCATATTATTCCATTCTGGTGACATCTCTGGAGAAAATATGACCCAACCCACCCTGCTGTCCTCTTCCTCCTGTCGAGTATTTTAGAAATAACACCACATCAGCACATCCGAGATGCTTGTAGCAAATCAAGGCCAATGGATAAGGATTTGGTCTCAAAGGGGGAGGGGTGGCGAGTGGGGTTCTGGGTCCTGAAGGGACCAAGGACAGGCACATGTCAGGGAGCTCAACCTGCCCACACGCGCTCTTAGAGACAATGCAGGCTCAGGCGAATTTATTTTTACTGCACGGTTGGCTGACAACGTACAAATTCCAAGTGATGTCATGGCTGTTCATGAAGCCAAACTGCTATCAGACCCCAGACATGTAACAGCAGGCCTGGTGGGGACAGACGTCCAACGTTGTGATAAAGGCCAACAGGGCCTTACGAAACTGCAACTCAGCCTGCGCCCGTGCAGACGCCGCAGCCTGGATCCACCGACACGCTCATCTTCTCTGTGGGAAAATAAAAGGATCTCAACAGGCTTCCCTGAAGTCAGGGCCGGGGCCTCCCAAAAGAAGAACCTTTAGGGCAAGTGGCACATAAAAATTTGCTTTTTAAATTAAAATGGGTGAGAAAACATTCTGGAAGGATCCGGAGGAGCTGGGAAGGTGATTGCTCTTTCTGGTTACGCCCCCTTGTGCCCTTTGAGTCTTTGACATGTGCATGTATGCGTTTGCAATTAAAAACTAGTTCTTCTTTTCAAACTCAAGGGCATGAAACGTTCATTTTGTAAATAAGAGACTCCAGAAGGTGTGACAACACAGCTACAGGATGGCCTGATCCACTCCTGGGGTTGACCACACTCTCCATCCGACTTGCAGCCCTTGCTGGGCTCGGAGCTCCCAGGAGGGTGCTGCCTTCTCCCCACTGTACCCCCAGCACAGACCGCCTCCCCAGCTTCCTGACACGCACAGGCACCCTGGGGCCTGCTTACAGGGCAGATTCTGATTCTGTGGGTCGGTGGGCCCAGGTTCTGCATTTCTAATGAGCACCTAGGCAATGCTGCTGCTGCCAACACAGGGGCCACATTTTGAGCAGCAAGGGCTACATCTTGCCTCGTCCATTGTAGTAGCCCTAGGCACAAGGGGCTATTGAAATTTAAATGAATAAATGTTAAATTAGAAATTCTGATCCTCAGTCAAATCCGTGACATTTCAAGTGCTCAGTGGACAAATGTGGCTCATGGCTGCCGTCCTGGATAGGGCAGAGAGCATTTTCATTGTGGCAGAAAGCACTGTTGGACAGAGCTGGGCAACGCGGTAAACCCAAAAAAACAAACCCTTTGCCATCAAGTCAATTCTGATTCATAGTGACCCTAAAGGACAGAGTAGAACTCCCGCATATGGTTTCCAAGGAACACCTGGTGGATTCGAACTGCCAACCTTTTGGTTAGCAGCCGTAGCTCTTAACCACTGCGCCACAACGTGGTAACTGCTTAGTAAATGGTATGGGACAGAGGGAGGGGGAAGACAGGAAGAGGGGAAATGAGAGAGGAAGAACGATGGAAGGGAGGGAAAGAAGGAGGGAGGGAGGGAGGGAGGAAGAAGAAGAGAAGCAAAAAGGTGTTTCTGTGAGCCCCCTACCTCAAGTTGAGGTGGCACGGACGGTAGGAACGTCTTTCCCTACACCCCTTAAATTCCTTACAGCACCTTCTGGGGGTTCAGGTCCCAGACTTCCCAGGCTCACCAGGGGAAAGTGATGGACAGACACGGAGAAGGTGGCTCCCCATCTGCAGTGAATGAAGGCCATGCCTGTCCCCTCCTGTGAGCTGGGTGCTGAGCTGGGCGGATGCCTGCTCCTCCATCCGGACACTCCAGATGAAGACTTGCCCAGCGCCCTCTTGTGGCTCCAGCATCAGGCGTCCAGAAAACACAGGCAGGGAGATGAGAGCTGAGCTCACTTCTGCGGAAAGAGCACGTTCAGCTAACGGCACAGGCGATACTGTCGCTGCAGTAACGTGACAAGTGACACAGCCGCCGACACACCGCACATCCCTCCCAGGACAGATGCAGCTACGTACTTGAAATGAGCCGCCAACCGCCGCAGCCCAGCACCCCCTCCTCAGGCAGGTTTTCTCAGCAGCCTCCCAGCAAGTCTCCTATCCACTCTGCCCTTCCACTCAGCCCACCCCAGCCACAGTGATTTCTCCATAACATTTAAGTCACCTTCCAGGGCCTTCCACTGCCTGGCCCTGTTCCATCTGTCACTCTCTGCCCCCAAGCCATGACCCAGCCGCCCTGAGCTTCTTATGTCCCCAGCATGCACCAGACTAGGCACCTCTGGGCCTACACACCTGTGGCCCCCTAGCTGGAACATCGGTCCCCCACCCTCACTGCTCGGCCAGCTGGATTCAGTCTGCAGGCCTCAGAGGTCCCTTCCTCAGGAAACTTCCCTGGCACTGCCGGCACACCTGTCTTATCTTGGGTTCCCCAGAAGCAGAGCCTGAGACAAGGGTTCATTGCGAGTGTTATTGGGGAGGTGATGCTGGAGCACCTGGAGGGAAGGGATGTCAGCAGGAAAGGAGGGGCCATCACAAAGTACATCACGAGGTCAGCGGTCAGCACGCTTAGCAGTCGGCTCAGACCTGCTGGGGCTGCCGGAAGATGGCAGAGGCCACAGCCCCGAGTTTCTCCATCCAAGGGGGAGGAAGGCAAGGCTTACCCACACCTCCCATCCATCACTGGCTGCAGGTGCTCCTGGGAGTCGGCTCAGCCACCCAGACCTTCCAAGGGGACAGAGATGCCCCAGGCATGGGCTGCTGGTGCTTGCCTCAACACAGGAATGGTGAGGCCGAGCAGACGGGGGGCTGTCGACAGCCCCCTACACCCCTCCCTGTGCTCATGGTTTCCTTCTTTCCTTCCTTCCCTCCCTCCCTCCTTCCTTGAGACAACTCCCACCTGTCTTACAATCGCCACCAGCCCACGAGTGATCTGGGGGTGCAGTAAGTCTTCTTACCCTCTCTCCCCAGTGACTCCCATGGAGCCCAGCACATAGCAGAAACCCAAGAAATGTTTGTTGGTTGAATGATAAGTGACTGCTGAAGGTTACAGGGGTTTTGGGGGGAAGTGGCGATGAAAACGTTCTGAAATTATATAGGGGTGATGGTTGCACAAACTTGTGAATATACTAAAATCCACTGAATTGTACATTTCAAAAGGCTGGATTTTTTGGTAGGTGAATTACATCCCTTTTTTTAAAAAAAAAAAAAAAAACTCAACTCACATACAATTTAGTGCCACTTACAGTGAAACAGGGGCTAAAACCACATCAGGGCTCTCGCCCAGTGGACCTGCTGTCCTTCGGCCGAGGGAGAGAAGCTCAGAGACATACCCCTCCCTCCCCAGGGACACAGAGGTGGACAGCGAGCCCCTCTGTAAGGAAGGAACCAAAGGCTATCATAGAGAGTGGCACTGTGGAGTGTCACTAATAACATTTATTGCCGGTGCTCCTCATGCACCCAGCGAAATCGCACTGACTCCACGAAACGGATTATCACCTGGTGATAAGTCATTCAGATTGAATCACGGGCATGGATTGTATTATCTAAGAAAACAGTAAGCATCACGGAGTCCTCTTGATGTGCCGACTTTCCTCAAAGATCTCAATTGTGATTGACCGTTCTGGAGAGCGGCTGCAGGCTCCACCTTCAGACCCAAAACAACTGGCTGGAAGCAGAGAGAAGCACGCTGAGTGGGTCCCACCACCAAGCTCAGAGCCTCCACGGTGGGGGGTGTTGTCAGTTCCCTGCTGCACCGATGACCCCAAAGAGACAACGGCACAGTGAGGGGCCAGGGGGCAGTCTCCCAGCCTCTCGGAGCCCCCCTTTCTTCTTCTGGGAAACAAAGACAACAATCCAATAGTAATCCCACTCTGCAGAACCAGAAAGGGAATTGAATGAAAAGGTTGGCCGTGGTGGTTCTGACCACATAGGCAAGTGCTCCAGGAAATCATGGCTCCTCAAGCTCCTTGTTGGGAAGGTGCCCTCTCCCAGCCCTCCCACAGTGCTAGGGCAGCAAGCCATGCCCCTGAGACCAGCTCAGCGTGGAGTTTGGGGACCTACTTCCTTCCTTCCTTCTCTCCTTTCTTCCTTCCCTCTTACCTTCTCTCCTTCCTTCCCTCCCTCCTTCCTTCCTTCTGTCCTTCCTTCCTCCTTTCCCGCACCCCCTACCCCTCCCCACCACTCCACTCAGACACATCTAGATATATTTGCTGGAATAAAAAGATACCTATGACTTGATGACAATGGGTTGCATCATATATGAGCAAAACAATTATATTATTAAATAGAGTATATTATTTGATATATTTTCTTATATTAATATAGTATACTATAATATGTAATATAAACATAGTATATTATAGAATATTAATAAAATATATCAAATAATATATTTAATAATAAATTATTTATGTTAAATATAATAAAAGTATATTATAACAATACTGTGTTGTTGTTGTGTGCCGTCGAGTCAGTTCCAACTCATAGTGACTCTACAGGACAGAGCAGAACTGCCCCCATAGGGTTTCCAAGGCTGTAATCTTTATGGGAGCAGACTGCCACATCTTTCTCCCAAGGAGCAGCTGGTGGGTTCCAACCACCGACCTTTCAGTTAGCAGCCGAGCACTTAACCATTGTGCCACTAGGGCTCCTTAACAACATAAGAGTAACAATAATAGCGGCTGCTCCCATTTCTCATCCCTTCTTTAACTGTATAACTAAGTCTTTCCATGCCCCTGACCTCACCTGAGTGTCACAAGCCCCTGTGAGGTGGGCAGTGTCACGACCCTGTGCATGGGGTGAACCAGCTCAGGGAGGTGGAGACCCGCCTGGGCAGCCCAGCTATGCCCCCTGGCCCCAGCTCACCGAATGGCTGCGAGGACCCTCAGGACAGTGTGGAGGAGAGTCAGGAGGCTGAGGCCAAGGGGCAGAAGGACGGGGTCAGGGAGGCTGACCGCCCTCCCCGGGGCCGGCGTGTCATGGTGCAGGGCCTGCAGCTGCTGCCACTTGAGGAGAAGGGGCCTGTCACAGCAGATCCGCCATCGATTGTACCAGCAGTGCAAATCCAGGGGGTGTTCTGCATGGAGAAGGGAAAGTCAGGACCTTGGGCAGGGCCACAAAACCGGGGACCCTCCTCATAATTGTGCCTGGTGTCCGGGACCAAGGGTGGGGCCAGCCATCCTGGCAGGAAGGGTCACAGAGGAGGGGAGTGTGGACACTGAGTGACATTCACTGAAGAGAGATAACAGCCCGTCTCATCGTCTCAGCTCTGGTAGTGCTCGTGGCTATGATTAGTAAGAGCCTTCTATCTCAGAGCTGTACACGGAAATATTTATGGATGACATGATACGACGTCTATGTGGAATCTGCTTCAAAATAATCCAGGGAGGGGGAGAAAGAGTGGGCAAAGCTGGAGGCAACCAGCCTGGCCAGTAGCTGATGACGGGGAGCTGGGCGTGGGGTCTACTAAACCAAGCTCCACTTTGGTGAGGTCTTGCAATTTTCCCCAGAAAAAAGTTAACAATGCCTCACACCATATACAAAAGCCAATTCAAAATGCACCAACGACCTAAATTTGAAAACTAAAACCACCTTCATTCTGATGCCTCCCTAGGCTCCTTCTGCTCTCTAAGCCTCGGCTCCTCTCAAAACTCAGACTCAACTAGACCAGGGTCGGCAAGCTACAGCCCACAGGCCAAATCTGGCTGCTGTCTGTTTGTGAATAAAGTTTTGTTGGGACACTGCTGTGCCTGTTCATTTACGGATTATCTGTGGCAGCGTTCACACTCTTAAGCGCAGAGTTGAGTAGCTGCAACAGAGACTGCCAGGCTGAAAATATTTACCACCCGGCTGCGTATAGAAAAGGTTCACCAGCCTCTGGGCTAGATGATCCCTAGTGTCCCTCCCCATCCAGACCCTCACGGCTCTAGGGGTCGGAATGCCTCTCCAGAACAAAGCCAGACCCTCGCTCGCCCCGCTGTTTCTGGTTCTAAGAGATTGATCATCGTCAAGAGGCCTCGCAGAGCCCATGCAATGCTGACAATGATTTCCAAGGAAGCAGAGGCTGAGCAGAGAGGCTGGGAAGTCCCTGTGGCTGATCCACCAGGTATCGAGCCCCCAGCAGATGGAAGAACCTCCCTGCCCCCTGCTGGTGCCAGTGAAGCCCATTCCTGGAGCAGGGAGACAGGACAGCCACAGGCAAGTGGAGTTACCTGAGAGGCCTTTAAGATTCTGCTGCCTTTTCTCCCCCTGCGAGACAAGGATGTGTGCATGATCAGCCTGGTGACTACAGGAGGCAGGGCAAGGGGGAAGAGGAGGGAGGAGGGAGTGAAGTGAGGAAGGTCAGGGGGCAGGGAAGGAGGGGAAAGAGCAAGAAGCAGGAAGGGGAAGGGGATCAGGGAAGAGGTGGCATAAGAGACAGAAAACAACATGGTGGCCCTCGTCAGAGAAGAGTGCAAACCCACATTCCCAAGGCCCACCAGGATGCGCTCAGCTGGCCTTTGCGCTCTGTTGCCCCAGCCATCACTGTCAGCAGCCCTCCTCTGAGCCCAGTGTGTCCACCATGGGGGAAGCACCCAGACACCCCTTCACTGTCCCTCATTGCCCAGCCTCTCGCCTCTCCTCTCACCTTCTGGGTCCTCAGGTACTGCGGCACCCAGTAGGGCATCACCGCCTGGTCTCTAGGTGTTGGGAGGCGGCCCCCAAACCGGTGGCATGGGCAGGGGCAGACCTTGGACATCCTGGGGATATAAGCCCGGGCCATCTTTTGGATCTAGCAGAGAGGAAGAGGTGTTGCTGGAAGGGAACGGCCTGGCATCCCAGACAAGTCCCCCCTCAGTCTCAGCCACAGGCAAGGAGCCTGAGAGTCCCCTTTCTGCATCCCGCCTCTCACAAGCCACCCCGCCCCCACAGCCCTCTGTCGCGAGCCCAGTTCTCCCGCCCGCAGCAGCACTTGGATACAATGGTCACTTCTCTGAGCCTCGGAGCCCCAGTTATGAAGAAGGCCTGCTGTGTTTTTACTTAATGCTCAAAGATTGAACTTTGTCCCCTCAGATGAAGAGCGGAGTCTCTGGGTGGCACAGTGAGGGTGCTCAGCTGCTAACCGAAAGGTTGGAGGTTCAAGTCCATCCAGAGGTGCCTCAGAAGAAAGGCTTGGTGATCTACTTCCAAAAACTCAGTCATTCAAACTCTATGGAGCACAGTTCTACTCTGCACACACAGGGTAGATATGAGTTGGAATTGACTCGGTGGCAACTGGTCCTGGTATATATATAATCTCAATTGTCGTGCTGGTTTCACAGGGGATTATACACGTCAAAACTTACCAAACTGTACACTTTACACATACACAGTTTATTGTACAACCACACCTCCATAAATCTGTTTATTTTTTTAATCTAGTTTAAAAACACACACACAACCATCTCTCAGAAGTGTCTAATGTCATTCATATATTCTCCTAGTTCTGAGGGGTGACTGGCCCCCTGGTGAGACATGTCCAGCTCAAGCCACCTACCTGCTTCCGAGGTCTCAGTGTCAGAGGTACCCAGTAGGGCAGCGCGGCCTCTGCCCTGGGCACAGGCAGGCGGCCCCCAAGTCCTGTCCGGCACCCACAGCAGATGGGCTCTCGGGGCACAGTGCTGGGGATGGGGCACACCTGGCAGACCCAGAAAAGACAGGTTTGGGCATGAGGCTTCGTGGGGAAGAAAGCCCAGGGGCTCTGGATGCAGAAGCCGTCCTTGGGGAGGGGCAGAGTGGAGGCCAGTGTCCAGGACAGGGCCTACTACAGTCACTGTGGTGGGGCTGCCACAGCCTGGAGCCCCGGCATGCTGGGATTCTCGGCCCCTCCCAGCTACCTTAGCTAAGGTAGTCTCAGGGTCCTCCTCTGAAAACGGGAGACACACCAGCTCTTGAGGCCTATGGGGAGCTGGCTGCCCTGTTCATGGTTGTATCAGTCTGCATGGAGTGTGTTGTAGCTTGCAGAGGGACCCTCAAAGCCTCACAGGGTGCCCAATCAGGAGGGCTCCTGCATCAAGGGGGGTGTCGTGAAGACCTAGAGGGTGGTGGGGAGTCTACCTAGAGATTTGGCAGACATGGCAACGGTCCCCCAGCCTCTCTCATGAGCTGCTGCTTCTGGCCTCGTACCCTCCCCCACCCACCACCACCCACAGGGGTGTCAGGTCAGGGCGAAGTGGCCAAGGGCTGGCTTTCCTTACCGAATGGTTTTTCCCAAGGGTTTGAAACGTGCTCTTCCTAGAAAAGAACAGGAAGGCTTAGAAAGTTCTGACCTTTGCGGAAATTGGGGGGCAGCGGGGGCAGCAGGGACAGGGTTAGGGTCCAGGGTGGCCACCCTGGAACTGAGTCTCCTCATGAGACCCCAGTGGTAGGGGTCATCCTCTGAGCCGGGGGGTAGGCAGTGACGTCAGAAGCAGGCACGCTCACAGGTTAGCATCTGGGGTCCCTGTGCCAAGCTGTGGTGGGAGCCACATGCCTGGCCCCACTGGCTTCTAGAACTCTCTGGCTAAGCATGTGCCAGGCCTGTCTGGAAGGCAGGGAGTGTTTCAAGATGGTGAGAGCCCGCTGAGAGGAGAGGCTGCCAGCCACAGTCGGGGTGCCTTGCAGACACCCTGAGATTACGTGGGATCCTGAAGGAAAATATTGCCAAAACTGTGCTCTGTGAAGGTCCTTTCAGCATAAGCGCCCAGCTGCTCTGTGTTGGGCAGCAGAACATTTAGCGGTTGCTCAGGCTCTGCTGCTCTTTCCAATCTTCCCCCAACCAATTGCCAGAAGGTTGCCCACAGGGTCTGCAGCCAGTAAGTCAACAGAAGGTTTCTCGGACAGTGCTGTGTCCAAGTTCTTGGGAACTGGACTCTCTATGAGCGATGTAAGTGGTTCCTTGTTACCATAGCATTATCACTGCTATCGCTCCCAGCTGGCGCTCGAAGGTGTGGCAGATTGGAATGTGTTGCCCACACAGCAACCCACACCTGTCCAATCTGTGTAGTTCAGGTGGGCAGAACCCACCTCTCCCAGCCCAGATGGTTAGGTCCATCAGCAAGCCCACCTGGTCTCAGAGATTAGGTCAGAACAGTGTCCTGACCAAACAGGGCCAAAGAGACTCGATTGTGGGACTCTGTGTCAGAACTGTTGGAAAAGAAAAGTCTCCTTTCTGTTAAGGTTGCTAATCTGATAGCATACAAACCTCAAGAGCTATGGGTGATCACCTTGCCTCCATCAGGGAAATCACGCTGAGAGGTGGAGAGAAACAGTTCTACAGCCACAGCCCTCACACACCTGAATACCTCCGTGCCTGAAGCCAGGCTAGCCCTGACGTTTTTAGTTACGTGAAACAATGAAAGAATTGCCTTTCTGTGTTATGTCCATGCCAATGTGGTTCCTGCCAGGCAAGATCCAGAGCCCTGCCTGCGTAGTAGTAGAGTACACTAGAACTGAGCGATCGAGGGGGACTCGGGATGTTCACTGCTGTGATTTCAGCATACTGGCCTGTAGGACTCCTGGGTGTAACTGCCTGTTATAATGTGTCTTATGTGTGAGTGTATGCTTACAGAGCTGAAGAGAAACCCAGTGATGTCCGGGAGTGCCAGATGCTGACCAAATAGGATAATGATGACCATGGTGGTGACAACAATACAATGGAGAGTAACTTCCATCTATCACGTTTTATAGTTTACAAGCACTGTCACACACGTGGTTTCAAATTTCCCCAAACCCCCATGCCACTGGCCCCTTCCAGGAACCGCTGCCCTTCCAGGAAACAGCACTCCTCTTGTCCCCCTCTCATCCCCCTTCTCACCCTCCCAGCCCTGCCCTCAGGGACTGGTTCTCCCAAGGGCGGCTCCAGCAGCCTGTCCTGGGTGGCCCTGCCTATGCCCACATCCCATACAACTGATTGGTCCACACTGAGCCAATCAAATGCTGCCCTCTAGGATTTGACCTTGAGCTGGTGGCCCCTTAGTCCCTTTGGGCACTAGACCAAGGAGGTCAGTGGTGCCTGGGGCAGTGGAGTAAAAGTATAGGGACTGCCCAGCCGGGGAGCAGAGGGGTGTCGAGTCCTTCCCATGAATGGCCCCTTACTGGGCCTGGCTGGAGTGGGCACCTGCCCCTGCACACACCACCCCTGACCCCAAGAGAACTTCCTCACCTCTTCCAACGGATGGGCCTGTGGGTCCTCGGGGCTCCCCACCCTGGATCCTTGTGCCCTAGAGGGGAGAGAGAAAGAGCTGGAACCAGCATCCAGGTGGAGTTGCCGGTGAAAACACAGACGCCCAGGTGAATTTGAAGTCTGGGCAAACACTAATCATTCTTCAGTACAGGCGTGTCCCATACAAAAGGAACCCTGATGGCACAGTGGTTAAAGCATTTGGCTGCTAACTGAAAATTTGGCGGTTTGAACCTACCAGCCGCTGGAATCAACTCAATGGCAATGGGTTTGTTTTTTTATTTTTTGATGTCCCATACAATATTTGGAGCATACTTACATTAAACGTTATTCATTGCTTATCTGAAATTCAAATTTGATTGCTCACCCCATATTTTCAGTTGCTAAATCTGGCAGCACCACTGGCGGGCTCATTTGTGACTTGTAGAGAAATGTGTTTCTTCAGCAACATGGGGACGCTATGCTCCAGGATCGGGAAGACTTGGAGTGTCCCCATCTGTCAGCCGCCAACCAGTTCAGATAGAGCCCCTGTGCAACACACATGTGTGCGCTCATGTATGTAATGTGCATGTGTGTGTGCATGTGTGCGTGTCTGCACATGTGTGTGCACGTGTAATGCCGTCACCAGTCTCTTTACAGCTAACAACAGAATCACCCAGGAACTCTCACCATTAGTCGAGCGTTCTATTTCCAGCTGCCTCATCTCTGCCCACCTCGGTGTGCCCCTGAGTTCTTGCTGTCTCTGTTCTCCCGGGTCCACTAGAAAGTCATTCTGACCAGAAGGCAGAGAAGGCAGGCTTGTCCTAGAAGAAGCCTCAGCCCTCCTCCAGGACCTGTCTTGCCGTCTCATGTCAAGAACAGCTCATCACTCCCCCCTCCCAAGAATGGTGACATTTAAAAGCACGGACAACACTAAGTGCCTCAAGGATTTGGCCTGTGGCTCACGGGCATGTGAACTGACACGGCCCCATGGGCATACTATCCAGCAGCATCTCCAGAACCTACACAAAACCCCTGCGACCCAGTCATCCCTTGCTGGGCATGGACCCAAGGGAAGTGAGTGCATGAGCCCACCAGAAGAGACAGCAGGGACATCCACAGCGCTTCCTTCGTGATGGCCCAACCTGGAGGTGACCAAATGCCCAGGCACAGAAGGAACACTACCAACCAGGAAGAAGGCCCCATGATGCACCCACTGCACCGGCAGCCCAGAGGAACAGCTGCCGGTCTCCAGGGCACCCGCAGGCCACGCATATGACAAACAGGCGGGAGGGCAGGTCCATCGAGCCCCCACCTGCCCCAAGCATCGGCGTAACAGCCTATGGCAGCTTCGCTCGGCCTTTTGCTTGGTGGGCACTTCGCCAGGCACCCGGCTTCCCCAGGCCTCGTTTTCGTCCCTAATGCACAGTGACGATGGGCCTGATCACAGGGCAATGGGAAGACAGGATGAGAAGAAGGGCTTCGGAGTGTGTGGTGAGCGTGCGGAGAGCGCACATCAGAACTAGCTGCTTAGCAACTGGAGACACTGAGCGGAACTGGACACCCTGCATCCCTGGTGGTTTGGGCCAGGGTCACACCAGTGCCAGCCAGGTGTTTCCTGTCCCAGGACACTGGAGTGTGGGCCTATGCCTGTGCCCAGCCCTGCTGCCAGGCGTCACACTGTGCCACCCTGCTCGCCACCCCGCTCAACCGACTCTCACCTGTCCCTCCTGGAGTCGCCGGCTGCATCACCGCCTATCAGACCACCCGCCTCTCCACCTGCAGCATCAGCATCACACAGGTTTTCCTGCCGACAAGCCACAGGACCTCAGCCTGGGCCTGTCTTGTCTGTCACCTGGTCCTCCCGCAGCCTGCTGGGGACACGGGATCGTCGTCCTCTTCTTGCGATCACGCATGGATGGAGCAGGGCCAGCCAGGCCCAACCCCAGTGCCTCTCCCAGTGTCCCACAGCCACCATGTGACACCAAGGCCCATGTTCTAGCGCTTTCTCCGAGACCACCAAAACATTACCTAGAAGATGGGGTCCCACTTACCTCGTCTCCACATCCATGCACACTGGGGTGTGGGGGGAACATTCCGCTGGAACCCAGAATGTTGGGCACAGAGGGAGAGAAGTTCCACAGTGAGCTGGTCCAGCCCTGGTCTCAGGCACCCCACCCCAGTCCAGGACACCAAGGGCAGCAGGACTGAGCCTGGGTGGGGGGACAGGGTCAGACCTACCTCCCACTGGCCTCCAGGCACTCAGCTGCCACCCAGCTCCACCGTGGTTTTCTGAAAGTTCACCTTCAGCAGGGCTCAGCTGGTGTCTTCACAGTCTCAGGGCGTGTCCCGTCTCTGTTAGCTGAGCTCCCGGGTGAGGGGGTGACAGGAAAGTGAAAATGGAGCTGCCGGCCTGTGACCTACCGACTGTCCCACAGCTCTGAGGACATTTCTAGGACGAGGCAGTGCAGCAGGCAGACCTGGGACCAGAGTGCTGGCTGGGCCACATAGAAGCTAGAGGGGAATGAGTGCACATCTGGCTCTTTTATCCCATCCCCCCACCCCATGTCAACAGTCAGCAACCCCTGCTGCCCCTCGCCCCCATGAAAACCCACAGAATTGGAGAATGACAGGGAAGGAGGGGGTGTGTTTCAAAGAGTGGAAAGAGACGACCCCTCCAAGGACAGATGCTGAGATGTTTGAAAAAATGAGTGGAGAAGCCTGTTGAGACCTCTGGGAAGGGCACTGCAGGCAGAGGGAACAGCATGCACAATGGCCCTGAGGCAGGAGGGTCCAGTGTGTGGAGGAGCGGCAGGGAGCCAGTGAGACAGAGTCAAGGAGGAAGAAGAGGAGGAAAAGGAAAAGGAAGAGGAGGAAGAAGAGGAGAAAGGAAGAGGAGAGCAGACCCCATGGTGGCCGGGATGTGACAGAGGGTCTTGATCTTTGGAATAACAGCGCCCCCTGGCTGCTGGGAGGACAGACGGTGGGGGTAGTGGGAGTGGGGAGCTGGTGAGAAGTGACAGTCGAGCTAAGCGGGGCGAGTGGGGATGGAGCCTCCAACGTATTGTGTGAGAGTGTGACAGAAAGATGGTCACAATGTCCCCGGGTCATTGCCTTGTGACTGGGGCTGCTGCAATGCCACTGATGGAGTGGGTGGAGCATGCAGAACCTGGGGTTCCCCTCCCACCATTCCTCCACCAGCTGAATATAGACAGAGAAGCAAGGGCTGGACCGGTCACCCATATCCCTCAAACAGAGCAAGGCCGGTGCAGAGGGTGGCTCTAGGCCAGAAGTCACTGCCAGAGGCGACAGCAGCAATGACATTTCTGGGGGAAACACTTTTGGTTGTAAAGACTGGGGATACTACTAGCATTGAGTAGAGGCCAGGGATGTTGCTCAACACCCTACAGTGCACAGGATGGCCCCCACACAAAGAAAACACTGGACCCCAAATGCCAGCAGCATTGAGGGTAGGAACCCACTCCCACAAAACGGCCTAGGCTGGGGTGGGGGGTCTTAGGGAGCTTGCAAAGGTCACCCGGCTGGGGAAGCTGGGACCTCTCAGGTTCATGCAACCCCAAGACCAGACTACGTCCTCTCCAGGTAGCAGTGCAGCTGCTTCTACCGTCAAGACTTCAGGTTTGCAGTCTGGCCGGGGCACACAGTCAGCTGTGTGGGCCAGCAGGGTGAGCCAGCTGTCTGGGGATGACACCCCTGGGGGTCTGCCATCTCCTGGCTGTGGGTGGAGACTGCCGCCACCTTCTCGACGGCCTACGCCCTGTCCCAGTCTGATCTGTCTCTCCTCGGCTCTGGTCCCCTCGTCCTGTGATGCCTGCTCACCCTCACAGTTAGAGCAGAGCAGCATTTACGCATGGCTGGAGACACTGCTTGTATGTGTGGGGCGGGGTGGGGTGGGGGGTCATTTCATAAAGGTAGGAGAACTAAGCTTTGTCGGAACTGGTATGAGCCACGCCCACTTCCACCAGAATCACTTCCTAAAAGAAACAGATTACACAGCATACAACAAGTTTTCAAAAACATATTTATTTAAAACCAAAGGACACAACCACACCCGGCCCGGGGACCACCATCAGCAAAGGCACAGGCATAGGTTCCCTGGAGCCCAGAACCCAGAGCCCAGAGCCCATACTCCCCTCCTTACTCCCTTCGCTGTCCTTCCTGCTGGCACCCTCCCCAGTGACACCCTCCCCAGGCAAGACTGGCTGATGTTATCGAGTGGCTGCGCTTCTCCCCGATCAGGAGTTCGCATGTGCAGGGTTTGGAAGACATCAAAAACAGAACAAGTGTTCTCTTCTCCAAGTGGGCCACGTGGCCACAAGGAACAACAAAGGGAAAATCAGGCAAAAAAAAAAAACCACCAGGTCCTCCCCAATGCCGTGTCCTGGCTGGTCTCCCTGTGCACAGGGTAACCCAGAGAGCAAGCCCCCAGAAGGCCGTGTCCCCTCGCTGGCTGCACCCCAAGGCCACACTGCAGCACTGGGCCATCAGCAAGCGGTGCCTGCGGAGACTGGGAACAGCTGTGCTCCAAGTCACAGCATCCACCACCCAGACACCCTGCCGCTTCCGTCCATTCTACACGACTCCGAGGACAGGCAGTGAAAGCACATCCCTCGTCCCCTCCAGGACCCAAGGATGGGTCTGTGCCAACACAAGTTGGTGGTGAGCTGAGGATTTACTGTCAAGCCTGGTGAGGAGTGCAGGCATCAGCCCAGGGACAGTGTGTGCCACCACCATACAGACACCACCCCTCAGTGTCCCCAGAACACATCCTGTTTTCCCAACTCATGCCTCCCGGATCAGCCTTTTACAAATTCCCACTGCTTGCGTGTCTGTCAACCTATAACTCCCTTTGCATCCCAGAGGCACAGACCTGACACGCATCCTCACCAGCCTGTCCCTGAGTCTCAGCAGACCCTCCCAGACCCTCCGCTATCTAGGGGCCCGGCCACAGAGCTTGTCAGGTCCCCAGGCCTGGCCGGCAGCCCTGCACACCCCAGCAGTGCCCTCTCGGCCTCTCAGAGCCCCAGAAGACCCTGACTGGTAACCTTGTCATGAACACCCCCTCCTGAGACCATAGGTCACACGTCTCTGTCTGAAATCCAGGGGGGCCAGCAGGGGCACCAGGAGCTCCATCCAGGTTCTGACCTGTCAGACGCTCACCAACTGCTGAGCCTGCATCCCGGCCTGATAACTCCTTCCTGTCCTGATGTCAGGCATCGGGGCAGCAGTTCCATCTCACACACGGCCATTTATCACGCTCACAGGAGACCATGCCCTCCACACAGCACGCATCCCTGAAGGAGGTCCCTGTTTTCCCTAGGAGAGCCAACAGGCAGAGGACACGCCGGCTTCTCTAGTTCCGTTACTCACAGGCCCCTGGAGCTGGGCCTCTGCATCAGTTTGGCTCTGCTTCCTTTTTTTCTTTGCTTTTCTTTGTAAGACATGCTCAGCTTCTCCTGCCGCGGCTACTAACAAATGTACAGGCGTATGGTACAGGCTCTACAGCGTGGGGGTGGCCGGGCTCCTATAGCGCATGCTCTCGCCCCAGCTGGGCCCGGCGCCCATGGCCACCTCAAGCAGCAAGCCGCGTCAGGAGGTGAGGGACTGGATGTTCTTGAGCATCTCGTCGAAGGCCTGTGGGGAGGGCGCGTCCGCATTCTGGAAGGTGGCCTTGACCCGGCTGTACAGGCTGAAGGACTTGAGCTCCAGCCAAATGAAGCCAAAGCGGTCATCATCAAAGAGGATGAAGACGCCTGGGGTGCGCTCAGGGCTGGTGAAGCCGTGGCCCGCGATGAGTCCTGTGCCGTAGAAGCTGGACAATGAGAAGGGGACAGGGTGAGGTGGGGTGGGGGGTAGTCCCTGAAAGAGCACGCATTTGCTCATGCCACACCACACAGCAGCGTTCGTGACTACCCCTCCTTCCTCCCTAGTGAGTGCTATCACCATTCACCTGGAAAACCAGAAGCCAGCCACCCCTGAGCACAGCCATCTCGCAGGGGTGCTCTGGCCACGAGACCTCACTTCCTAGGCCGTAGGAACTCAGCTGACTGCCGCCATCCCCTGCCAACTGAGCTAGACAAGGTTCTTACAGTCCTGCCTAATGAATCTGTCCCAAAGTAGATGTACTGGTCAAGCAGGACCAGTAGCAACATCTCCATTCTGGGCTGGCTATGCCTATGTATAAACAACTCAGACAAATACAGCAGATGTAACAGCACGCAAATGGCATTACCCCAGAAGGGAGAACTTTTAAATACCTACTGCGTGACCAAGTTTCAAGACCAATTTTAGAGTGAAATATGCTTAGGTCTGTGTTTCTCTCTGAAATTCAAAGAGCTCTGTGCTGCCAACAGATGAGAAGTCAGAGGCTGGCCCCGAATCTCCCAGCACGTGGACTGCACCCAGGTACCAGCCTCCACCCACCACACAGGGACTCCATTGGGCGCGAGGGGAGAGAGCAGCCTGGCCCAGAGGGTTTGGGGGGAGTAGGTCACAGGCAGGTAAGGTGCTCTCCTCTGAGCCCAGAAACCAGGTAGCAGGTACTTCCTGAGAGCTCTATGGCCTGTGGACACCCACAGGAATCAGGAAGGCGATACAACATGCCCACCTGGCCCATGGGGGCCCTGATACTCCGTGGGGGTGACGAACCACCTGTGGCTCAGCGGGGACTGGTCAGTTCCCATGGCTCTGGGCTGGCCAGGAGACGTGGGAGCTATGGGACTTTTTCAGGGAAAATAATTAAAGCCGCCTTCTTCTATGGCCATTCAAAAACATACAAAACTTAAAATTCTATTGAGCATTATTTACATGCCTCCTGTAAAGCCCAAACTCGGTGGTTGTCATGAGAATTGTGCACACGGCCCCTGGCTGAACGTCAGCCTCCCCCAAGCCCCACCTGTGCCCCTTGCCCCTTACCACATCCTACAGGTGCGGGGGTAGTCCTCGTTTCGTGAGCTCACGCCCACGGGCAGCACAAACGGCTGCCCTGACTCGGTGGGCTGCTGGGCCGCTGCCCCGCTGCCGCCCTCAGGTTCCTGGTGGCCTTCAGCAGGTCCCTCGGCAGGCCCCGCAGCAGCCTCCTTAGCTGGTGGCTCCCCCGCAGGCGGGGCAGGGTCCTGGCTGTCCTCCTGTGCGCCCTCCTGCTGCCGCTGCTGCTCCTGCCGCACCTGCTCTCGCACCTCCAGCACCACCCGGGAAAGCTCATTGAAGTTGTGCAGGTTCTCAGCCTCAGGCAGCTGGATGCGGTGCCTGAGGTCCACCTCCACCGTCTGCTGCCCGGCTGGGATGTTGGGGTCACCCTGGGGAGCATGTGGGCCAGCGGGTAAAGGGCGAGTGAGACCAATGACCACACTCCAGCTGTCCCAGGCATCCAAGAGCAATCCCTGATGCTGGAATATTCTAGTTAGTGATCATGGGGGGCACTAGGAGCCTGTCCACTAAAGCAGGGTGTCTCCCACAGGGCTGCCCTGGACCCCTGCCCATAAAATCAAATTCCTGGGGGGCAGCACCTGGCATCAGGATGTATCAAACACCTCAGGGGTTCCCCTGAGTAGCTGAGTTTGAGAGCTATCAAACACCTCAGGGGTTCCCCTGAGTAGCTGAGCTTGAGAGCTGGCATGTTGATGTGATCAAGTGTGCACAGTCACTGGGAGTTTGTGAAAATACAGATTCTGACTCGCAGGGCTGGGCAGGCCTGGGACACTGCATTTCTGACAGCAACACCCATGCTGTGGCCTTGGGCCTCACTCAGGAAGAGGTGTGGCGTATCCTCCCTGCCCGGGTCCCTCACTCCATGGCCACCCAGGCCCACCATGCGCATGGGCCACATGCACTCACAGTGATCTTCGTGCCCCGGGCCCGCCTCCCGTGGAAGCTGAGCATGACGATCTCCAGGCCATGGCTGCCATAGGTGCCCTTGAAGAGGCCCGGCTTGATGAGGTCGTCAGGGTGGCTGGGCGGGAGGTAGATCCGGCGGTAAGTCAGACAGTTGCTGCAGGGGAGGGAGGAGGGTCAGTTCAGAGCCAGGCAGAGCTCACGCAGAGACACCAGAAATGCGGAGACCACACAAACCTCGCTCAAGGACATGAGGTCTGCCAAGACACGGGGCCCTGACAACCAGTACTGGTTTTCACCAGGCCTCAGAGGCAGATGCATCCTTCCAGAAGCACATCCACAACCGCCCGTGTCCACGGGGCCTCAGTCCAAGGTGTGCTTCCCCTTTTCCCTTCTCCAGGGTGGCCTTCATAACCAGGGCTGTAGGGGGATGGGTCCCACTCTCGCCCCATTGCCCTGGGGAGGGAGCCCGCGTGCCAAGTAGAATGGAATGGCACAAGAGGCCAGTAGGGTCCAGGAGGCCCAGGACCAGAGCAGAAGGGAGTTCAGGTAGAGAGGCATGAGGAAGCCACACAGCCCTGAGCCGACGTGGACCAAGCACGAGGCTTGGACAGATGGTGTCCACGAGGAGGCTCCAAGCTGGCCAGCAAGCTAACAGTCAGAGAAAACCAGAATAAGGTCCTGGGGTAGAGGTGGGGGTCATGTACTCACCCTTACCACATGGGAGGGGGCTGCGTGTACTCACCCCCACCAAGGGGGAGTGAGCTGCGTGTACTCACCCGCACCAAGGGGTAGGGGCTGCGTGTACTCGCCCCCACCACAGGCTGCCCCCCATGCAGGCGCACTCACTCATACTGGCTGGTGTAGATGAACTTCATCAGGATCAGCTCCTGCATGTGCTCATGGAAGATGTCCTCCAGTGTCCGTCCCCACTCCTCTCGCAGCCATGTCCGGAACTCCTTACAACAGAACACAGCTGTGGGGGTCACTGTAACACCACACATGGAGGGGACATGCTCTGGTCCCAGTATCCGACCGCCCTGCCCATCAGAAGCCTGCCCAACACACCAAGACGAGATGCTCTGGGGCCTGCAGGTGGGGATTTCTGACAGCGCGGAAGGGTGGGGAGCAGAGGCCCACCCTGCCACCAGCCCAGGCATCACTCCAGTGCCTCGAGGCAGCAGCTGGGGTCTACACTGTACAACTTGGAGTGGGTTCTCAGGCTTCCTCAGAGGGGGAGGGGCCAGGACACCTTCTCAGTAGGTAAACCCCTGGGCTGATACTCAGATCAACCAGAGCTGCTTCCAAAGAACGGGGACTGACACGGCTCCGGGGGAGGGACCTGGGTGGATTTCCCTTTATAAAAGATGTTCACAGTTATGTTGCAAGTTCAGTAAACATTGGTAAAAAGGGAGCTTTCATAAACACCACATCCCCAAAGCTCAAGAATGCATCATACAACTTGCAGTCAGACAAGGCTAAGGATATTTAGTGCTCAGCAGTCTGAATCCAACTATCAACATAACTTATCCAGAGCGCTGTATTCCTAGTTCAATAGTGTTACTCATGATTATCTAAAATTGGCTTCTATAAGCAAAAGCAATTTTCCAAAAAAAAAGAAGAGTTACAACCTGTCGTTTGCCTTGACATGTTACTCCCCCAACAGAAATTACTAAAGTGACCAAACTGAACAACTACGAAAGCTAATAAGAGAATTTTGCAAGGTTGCAGGATACAAAATCAATATACAAAAATCAACTAAATTTGTATATACTAACCTCAAGCAACTGGAAAATGAAATATTTTTAAATTCTACTTGCAACGGCCTCAAAAAACGTAAAGGATTTACTATAAACCACTGGCCAAACTGACAAAAGAAAAACAGGAGAGGAAACAAATAACCCATATAAGAAATGAGATGGGTGATATCACAACAGACTCAACTGAAATTAAAAGAATCATAACAGAATATTATGAAAAACTGTACTCTAACAAATTTGAAAACCTAGAGGAAATGGACAAATTTCTAGAAACTCACTACCTACCTAAACTAACACAAACAGAGGTAGAACAACTAAATAAGCCTATAACAAAAGAAGAGATTGAAAAGATCATTTAAAAACTGCTAACAAAAAAAAGCCCTGGCCTGGACGGTTTCACTGGAGAATTCTACCAAACTTTCAGAGAAGAGTTAACACCATTACTACTTAAGGTATTTCAGAGCATAGAAAAGGATAGAACACTCCCAAACTCATTCTAAGAAGCCAGCATAACCCTGATACCAAAACCAGGTAAAGACACCACAAAAAAAGAAAATTACAGACCAATATACCTCATGAGCATTGACGTGAAAATCCTCAACAAAATTCTAGCCAGTAGAATTTAACGTGTCAAAAAAATAATTCACCATGATCAAGTGGGATTTAAACCAGGTATGCAGTGATGGTTCAACATTAGAAAAACAATCAATGTAATCCATCACATAAATAAAACAAAAGACAAAAACCACATGATCTTATCAACTGATGCATAAAAGGCATTTGACAAAGTCCAACACTCATTCATGATAAAAACTCTCAGCAAAACAGGAATAGAAGGAAAATTCCTCAGTATAATTAAGGACATTTACACAAAGCCAACAGCCAACATCACCTTAAATGGAGAGAGTTTGAAAGCATTCCCCTTGACAATGGGAACCAGACAAGGATGCCCTTTATCACCACTCTTATTCAACACTGTGCAGGAGGTCCTAGCCAGAGCACTTAGGCTAGAAAAAGAAATAAAGTGCATCCAAATTGGTAAGGAAGAAGCAAAAGTATCTCTGTTGCAGATGATATGATCTTATATACAGAAAACCCCAAAGAATCCACAGGAAAACTACTGGAACTAATACAAGATTTCAGCAAAGTATCAGGATACAAGACAAAAATCAGTTGGATTCCTCTATACCAACAAACAGAACTTCAAACAGGAAATCACCAAATCAATACCATTTACAATAGCCCCCAAGAAGATAAAATACTTAGGAAGAAATCTAACCAGAGACGTAAAAGACCTATACAATGAAAACTACAAGACACTACTGGAAGAAACCAAAAGAGACCGCATAAGTGGAAAAACATACCTTGCTCATGGATAGGAAGAGTCAACATTGTGAAAATATCAATTCTACCCAAAGCGATCTACAGACAGACACAATGCAATCCCGATCCAAATTCCAATGGCATTTTTTAAGGAGATGGAGAAACAAATCACCAACTTCATATGGAAAGGGAAGACGCCCCGGATTAAGTAAAGCATTACTAAAGAACAAAGTGAGATGCCTCACACTACCTGACTTTAGAACCTAGTATACCGGCATGGTAGTCAAAACAGGCTGGTACTGGTACAACGGATACACAGACCAATGGAACAGAATTGAGAATCCAGACGTAAATTCATCCACCTATGAGCAGCTGATATTTGACAAAGGCCCAAATTCTGTTAACTGGGGAAAAGACAGTCTCTTTAACAAATGATGCTGGCATAACTGGATATCCATCTGCAAAAAACTGAAACAAGACCCATACCTCATACCATGCACAAAAACTAACTCAAAAGGGATAAAGACCTACATATAAAATCTAAAACGATAAAGATCATGGAAGAAAAAATAGGGACAACTCTAGGAGCCCTAATACATGGCATAAACAGAATATAAACCATAAGTTAACAATGTACAAACGCCGGAAGAGAAGCTAGATAACTGGGAGCTCCTAAAAATCAAACACTTATGCTCATCAAAAGACTTCACCAAAAGAGTTAAAAGACAACCTACAGACTGGGAAAAAATTTTTGACCAAGACAAATCCGATCAGATCTAATCTCTAAAATCTACAAGACACTGCAAAACCTCTACAACGAAAAGACAAATAACCCAATCAAAAAACAGGCAAAGGATATGAACAGGCACTTCGCCAAAAAAGACATTCAGGCGGCTAACAGACACATGAGGTAACGCTCACGATCATTAGCCATTAAAGAAATGCAAATCGAAACTACAATGAGATACAATCTCAACCTAATAAGGCTAGCATTAATTCAAAAAACACAAAATAATAAATGCTGGAGAGGTTGTGGAGAGACTGGAACATTTATACACTGTTGGTGGGAGTGTAAAATGGTACAACCACTTCGGAAATCAATTTGGTGCTTCCTTAAAAAGCTAAAAATAGAAGTACCATACGATCCAGCAATCCCACTCCTTGGAATATACCCTAGACAAATAAGAGCTGTCACACGAATAGATATATGCACACCCATGTTCCTTGTAGCACTGTTCACGACAGCAAAAAGATGGAAACAACCCAGGTGCCCATCAATGGACGAATGGATAAACAAATTGTGGTATATTCACACAGTGGAATACCACGCAATGATAAAGAACAACAATGAAGGCGTGAAACACCTTATAACATGGAGGAATCTGGAAGGCTTTATGCTGAGTGAATTTAGTCAGTCACAGAAGGACAAATATTGTATAAGACCACTATTATAAGAACTCAAGGAAAGGTTTAAACACAGAAGAAAACATTCTTGGATGGTTACAAGGGTGGCGAGGGACAGAGAGGAGAATTCACTAACCAGATAGTAGATAAGAATTATCTTAGGTGAAGGGAAGGACAACACACACTACAGGGGAAGTCAGCACAACTGGACTAAACCAAAGCTAAGAAGTTTCCTGAATACAACCAAACACTTCGAGGGACAGAGTAGCAGGGGCAGAGGTCGGGAACCATGGTTTCAAGGAACATCTAGGTCAATTGGCATAACAAAGTTTATTAAGAAAATGTTCTGCAACCCACTTTGGTGAGTGGCATCTGGGGTCTTAAAAGCTAGCAAGCGGCCATCTAAGATGCATCAATTGGTCCCAACACACCTGGAGCAAAGGAGAATGAAGAAGACCAAAGACACAAGGGAAGTATTAGCCCAAGAGACAGAAAGGGCCACATAAACCAGAGACTTTATCAGCCTGAGACCAGAAGAACTAGATGGTGCCTGACTATCACCAATGACCGCCCAAACAGGGAACACAACAGACAGTCCCTGATGAAGGAGGAGAAAAGTGGGGTGTGGAACTCAAATTCTAGTAAAAAGACCAGACTTAATGGTTTGACGGAGACTGGAGGGACCCTGGAAGACATGGCCACCAGACTCTCTGTTAGCCCAAAACTAAAACCATTCCTGAGGCCAACTCTTCAGACAAAGATTAGACTGGACTATGGGACATAAAAAGATACTTGTGAAGAGTGTGCTTCTTAGCTCAAGTAGATACATGAGACTAAATGGGCAGCTCCTGTCCGGAAGCAAGATGAGAAGGCAGAGATGGTCAGGGGCTAGTTGAATGGACACGGGAAATCCAGGGTATAAAGGAGGAGTGTGCTGTCACAGTATAAGGAGAGCAACTAGGGTCACATAACAAGGTATGTATACATTTTTATATGAGAGACTAACTTGAATTGTAAACTTTCACTTAAAGCACAATAAAAAACAAAAAACATGAAGGATTGTGGAATAAACTTAACAAAATATGTGCCAGACTTCCATTCTGAAAAACACAAAACACTGTTAAGAGAAATTAAAGACAACATTAAAGAAATTAAATAAATAGTCAGATGCACCATGCGTATGGACTGAAGACACAATACTGTTAAGACAGCAAGTCTCTCCAAACTGATCTATAGATTCAAAGTCAGGCCAATCATAGCGCATTCACTAGGCTTCTTGGTAGAAATTGACAAGCTGACTCACACGGAAATGCTGAGGACCTAGAATACCCAAAGCAACGTTGAAATAGAAAAATGAAGTTGGAGGACTCACTCTCTCTCTCGTTACAACTTACTATGAAGCTACAGAGATCGAGATGGCAGTACTAGCATGAGGACTGACCAAAACATCAATGGACCCAAACAGAAAGCCCAGAACAGAAACAGACCCACACTTACTTGGTCAGCTGATTTTCAACAAAGGCGCCAAAGCAATCCAAGGGGGAAAGGGAAGTTTTTTTAACAAATGGTGCTTGAACAACTGGATAACCATACAGAAAAAAAATGAACCACAATCCCAACCGCACACCATACACAAAAAGCAACTTGATGAGGATCACAGACCTAAATGTCAAAGCTACATGTAACGTAAACCTACAAAAATTCAAGGGCAGAAAATAAAACCTAGGAGACCATCTTCATAACTTAGGGGTAGGCAGAGTTTTGTAGGCTACAGAAAACAATAGCTATAAAGTAAAAAAACTGTGAAATGAGACTTCACCCAAGTTAAAACCTTCCGCAAAAGTGACTGAACCTTCGGAGGACTGGCACCAAAAAAAAAAAAAAAATGATAAATCACAAATAACAACAAAAGTTAGTGTACGACAACAACAAAAGCAAATAAATTCTTTTTTTAAAAAAAGTGAGTGTAATGAGCAAATATGTCAATGTTGCCATGGCGAAGAATTAGACTTTAACTAAACACCATCCAGAAGATGACCATGTGTAGTTTTAATCTTATTTACTCTGCATGGAAAGGACAAAGTCATTAGGAACACCAACAAAACCCAATTATTCAGAACAACGATCTCTGAAATATGTTTATTACAAAATCACCTTATAAGGTCAAGATATGCACATGCAAGGAAAAAAGAGGGCCTAGAACACATACAAAGGCCACAGTAAATGTAATCTGTCCCGAGCTTGGTGAATGCATGCTGCGCACTGTGCTAAGCACCCTCCCCACACTGGCTCAATCTGCACGACGGCCCCATGAGGTGGGCACAAATATGTCCCCGACTTTACAGATAATAGGAAGCTTGGAAAGGTTTAGACACCTGCCCAAAGCCAACCAGCTGTTAAGCAGTAATATCAGAACTAATCCAAAGTCCACGTGCTTAACCAGCATTCTTTCCACTGGAGAGAAAATCAATGCTGGCAAGAGTGCAGTGAGGCTGGGGGCGGATGGATGGGCCTGGACAGAAGGAAGAGAGGACCCTTCCTGGCACCATCCCCATCAGGGACTGAGAAAACGCAGGAGGTCTAGGGTGGACCAGGTGCTGCGGCTTCCGGTCTGCGGACCACACAGGGGCCGGAGCCAGGAGACCATGAGCCTGGGTGTTGGATCACGTCCCTGCGAGAGTTTGGGCTTGGTGTTCAAAGGTGCTCAAACCTGGCAAAACTCTCAGACACCAGAGTTTGGGTGCAAGGCATCAGGAGGGTTGGCATGCCTGGTCAGTGTACTTTTACTAATTAACAACCCTAGCAGGGCTGGCTCATGGAGGACAATCTGATGTTGAAGGGGAAGGACCAAGGGAAGGGGTCCAGGAGGAAGCCGACCCTCAACGTGACAGTATACAATCTAACTTAAAATGACTATGCTATAAGTAAAAAAGCCTTTCCGTATCTATCATCTTCATGTACGAAAAAACAAGGACCTTGTTTATCTTCAAAGGGCTCCCTAAATCATGTACATTCTGCTTATCCTGAATGTAAGCTTCTGGAAACTTAGAAATTGGCCAAGAAATGTACACTCAACAAATAAACATCAGCTGCAATGAGAATTCTAGATTTTAAGAGTTCAATTTCTCAAAAATATTTTAAAATAGGCATATGACTTAGATGCACAGAAAATAAAAATTCAAAGGGGAAGTGAAATTACTCGTGCACTCAAAAGGAAAACCCACGGAAACCTCCATGGGTATGCGTGACACACAGGATTACCCAAGCCTGGCCATGATCTGGAAACTTCACCCCTGGGCTCCATGTGTGGGAAGGAGAACAGAGGCTCCAAATGAAGCCCCCGGGTATCCCGGCTTCCAGAGGCAGCCTCACCGCAGGCCCCTCTGCCAAATGGATGCTTCCGTCAAAGGAGAAACCACAAAAGGACAACTATTTCTGTCTGGATCATTCATTCTGCAGGTGATAGAAAACAAAAACTAAAACCTGCACTCATGTACACACATCCATATGATGCTGTTTCTAAAAAGGAAGTATAGATGCATTTTCTGCACAGATAACATCCAGTTCAACCATATGAAACATGGTAGCCATACACTGGCAATTTCAAATGGCTCAACCCACCATGTCCATACTTTCCGTCACAACAGGGGGAGGCTAGGCCGGGGCTCCCATGGACCAAGGGGCTCTGCTTCCAGGTGACACGGGCTCACCTCTTGCCTGCCACCTGACATCCGGTGGTGATCCGTCTGGTTGCATTTGGTGGAGAACTCATCCTTCTTCACAATCTTCCACATTCATGTCCGAGGGAGAAAGAGGTAACAAGCAACACCGAGTTAGCCACAGCCTCACCACGTCAGACAGGGCAGACCACCCCTCCCACTGTTAATGGATTGAATTGTGTCCCCCCAAAATTGTGTGTCAACTTGGCTAGGCCATGATTCCTAGGATTGTGTGATTATCCTCATTTTGTCATCTGATGTGATTTTCTTATGTGTTGTAAATCTTACCTCTATGTCAATGAGGTGGGACTCAATCTACAAGATTAGGTTGTGTCTTAAGTCAATCTCTTTTGAGATATGAAAGAGAGAAGCGAGCAGAGAGACATGGGGACCTCATACCACCAAGAAACAAGAGCCAGGAGAACAGCGCATCCTTTGGACCCGGGGTCCCTGCGCTGAGAGGCTCCTCAACCAGGGAAGATGGATGACAAAGGGCCTTCCCCTGGAGCCAAAAGAGTGAGAAGGGCTTCTCCTGGAGCTGATGCCCTGAATTCGAACTTCTAGCCTACTAGACTGTGAGAGAATAAACTTCTGTTTGTTGAAGGCATCCACTTGTGGTATTTCTGTTATAGCAGCACCAGATGACTATGACACACTCTGACTGGTCAGAACACAGCAGCTACAGAGAAGGCAGCTCAGAGCACCTGCGTGTGAGCCCCCTTGTCAGTACAAGGTGGGGTGTCCTGGAAATGTGTGTACAGCCACAAGGGGCCCCACTTGCATTTGCCCAACAGCACCTTCTAGAGCAGCAGAGGGGCTGCCATTCATGGCAGTAAATAACACACTACTTGCTAACCAGGATCACAGAGCAGAGCACTTTACTCAATGCTGACATTCTTATAAACAAGAAAAGAAGAAGTGGTGAGGAACTGCAATTTGATAGAACAGGTCGTTCTCACTGAATGCAGAACCAATAGGGTTCCAGCGAGTGATGTCTGGAGTTACTCAGACCCAGATGGCATAAATAATGCCACAGGCGGGGGCTCCAACAAAGGCAGAGGTCTACAGCTAAGACCACCACAGCAGCCCCTCAGCCAATTCTCACACAGGATGGCACTGGGATCCTGAAGAGCAGAAGACACCTGTGTCTGCTCACCTGCAGGTGCCCACCTGTGTCCTGGAGTCTAGCCCCTCCTCACCTACACGGGCCCACCTATGTCCCAGGGTCCAGCCCCCATTGCCTACACAGACCCACCTATATCCCGAGGTCCAGCCCCCCTTGCTCGTACGAGCTCATCTATGTCCCGGGGTCTAGCCCCTCTAGCCTGCACAGGCCCGTCTGTGTCCCAGGGTCCAGCCCCCATCACCTACATTGGCCCACCTGTGTCCCAGGGTCCAAGCCCCCTCACCTGGATGTGGCCGTGATGGGGCCCCTTGTGGCCATACATACACTCGACTGTGGCGGACTTTCTCTCCATCAGATGAATTCTGAATAGAGGTTTGAATCTCATTGGGTCGTCAACATGAGGGTCATGAGGAGGCAGGTACATCCAACCAATAATGAACAAGCCGTCCACCTGCACCAAGCAGAAAGGGCAGAGTTCACAGGTAGCTCACATGAGGCACTGAAGCAGAGTGCTGGCTCCCTGCCATTCTGTCCCGCCCCACCTCTCCACAGGGGCTGACCCTCGTCTCCGACCCTGAGGCCCCACTGCGCATCCTCCTGCTGGATAACCAGGTATCACAGGCCTCCCATGTAATGCATTATGTGTGCAGCACCACTGTGACATGTTGGCTAATTAAAAACAGTTAGACCTGAAACTCTAAGCAAGCATTCCGGAGCTAACTTCCAGCTCTAAAATGGGGGGAAGTGGGGCTAGGGGAACAAGCTAAAGTACACTAGGAGAAAGCAAAGAGAATAATCCAGAATGTGAGACACCCAGATGGCAGTGAGCTAACTCGAGAAGACACCGCTTTCAATAGGAAAGGGATGCGTGCAATAAAACAAACCAATGCAACGTGGTGGCCTTGCTCAGATCCTGATCTGAACCAACCAACTGCTAAAAGGCATGTTTTGAGACAATGAGGGAACCTGAAAGACGGACAGTCATTCAATAATGTCGAGGAATTATTGCTGCTTTCATAAGGCGTGATACTAATGCCATCGGTATGGGGGAAAATATCCAATTATCCTACTGAGATCACAGCAAAGTCTGGAAGGACAGAAAGATTTAAGGCCTGGGGTTTGCTTCCAAACGCTTCAACACCAAGAGGAGGAGCTAGGTGACGCTGGCACAGGGCATGCTGGGAACCGCTGAGCCTGGGAGGTAGGTTCTGTGAGGCTCATCATACTGGTCTCTCTACTGCTGTGTTTATTTTCATGCTGTGTTTATTTTCATGGTTAACGGGGTACAGACCAGACATGGTGGCAGTCTTCCCCACACTGGTGCTCAGCAAATGCCAGCAGGTTCTCAGAGGGAGGGGGTGGCTCTTCTCCGAAGCCCCCACCTGAGATAAGCCAGCAGCCCGTCTGACCTCCCACAAGAGCCTAGCCCCTGGCCTCCCACTCTGGCGACAGAGGAGAGCGGGCTCAGTGGCTAACTGGTCTGAGACGGAGCACGTTCGCGCTATTCTTTCATGAGTTCCATTTCCCCTGCTTTCTGAGGCTGTACTTTTTTTTTTACTCTATTACTCACCGCCAGTAAGAAAAACAATGCTCGCCCTCCCTGACTAAATGAATGGAAACTGCCTGGCCGCACGCTGCCTGGCTGGCCTCCACGAGGAGGCACGCTGAAGCCAGGCTCCCCAAGGACATGAAACTACCCGATGAAAGTGTGTCTTCATGGGTCTCTCTCCACCAAAATCAAGCTATTTACCCCTGCCCCGAGACCCACCTGGTGAGCAAAATACATAGGAATGGCATGTATTTCAGTTGCCTCAAATGTCATGATGATATTATGGCTGGCTCACACCTCTGACTGAAAAAGGGCTGCGTGCCCAGGCCCCCACAAAGCTGCTCGTCACTCACCACCACGTTCAGCAGCCCCCCATACGGCCCGATGTCCGGCTGCCAGAGCCCCAAGATGTGTCGGTATCGGTGAAGCACTGCAGGAAGAAAGACAGCAGGCTTCACGTTAGAGCCAGTGAGCAGATGCGTGGAAGAAAACGGCTCGAGGAGGGGAAAGAATTGTGAAGAACGACTTACCAGACTGCTAAGAGAGCCTTTTGAACAAATACGGATTTAACAAGTCTTATCCTACAAGGTTATAAAGAATTCTAAGAATCAAAACGGCTTTAAAAGAAGAATAAAACAGACGACTGGGTTATTTTTTAAACCAGCCTCTAACTGGTCACCTCCAGTTGTAAGGAATCACATCTAATCAGACAGTGGGGTGAGTTCCCTCATAAGCTAGTGAGTTTCCCATCAATGGGGGAATACAAGCAAGAATGGGAAATGTTCTTGCATGGGAAGAAAATATTGTAAAGACATAAATTCCTCCCGAATTACCATAAATAGTGTAATTCCAACTAAAATCCAAGGATTTTTTTTTTTAACTCAACAAAATGATTCCAAAGTTCACATGAAAGAATAAAGAGGTGATCATAGCAAATAATACCAATAATTTAAAAAGACTAAGCCTATTAAAATGTACTATGATAGCTAAGATAATCCACATGAGACTAGAACAAGAGATGATAGAGAGGAAAGAAGAGCCAGGAAGACGCTGGACAGGCAGCACACGGCGGACAGTGGGGGATCTACCAGGCAGGGACTGACACAAAGTGCTGCAGGGTGGGTTAGGACACAAGCTGGGTCAGCGCACTCTTTTTTAAAATGCCACACTGTTCCCTTATTTCAAATGCAGTTGGGAAATGGAGATCATTTTTAATAACAAATTCTGTAGGTCTAAGAAGCATATTTTTCCAGAAGGCAGCCTAGCGATATTTTATGATCCCAGTTAACTACTGCACAAACATACGCTTCATATTGAACAAAAGCTGACTTTATTCCTTCGTTCGCCAGGATCCTCACTCTGGCCATGCATGAGAATCACCTGGGAACTTCAGAGAAAAACACGTGCCTGAGCCCTGAGCAGCCGCTCAAATCAGCACTCGGGTGGTGTGCGCTCTGGTGTTGGGTTTTTTTTAAAGCGCCTCACTCAGGTAACGCTGAAGTGCAGACAGGACCAAAAAGGACAGATGTAGACGCTTCCCTGACAATCTACGAATTTAAACAACTAAACAGAAGACTAGAACAACTTCATTCTTGCTCCATTCGGCTTTAGCTATCATTTACCGACCACATAACTCCCGGAGTCGGATGCTTCATCGTGTTTACTCCTCAGATGAACCCTGAGAAGCGGCGTGTCCCACAGCCAGCAGCGAGCAGAGGCAGTCAGCGGGACCCTTTCCCTGACCACTGCCAGCCTCCGCCCTCCCGTCCACTCCACTCTCCTGTCTAGCCGCTCAGCTCAGCGTCAGGGTGCAGGATACGGAAAACCAAGACGCTGGCTACAAGCTCTGAGCAGGATACAGCTTCTAGTGTCAAAACTTAAATGCATGATTTTAAAAAATGGAGAACATAAATGATGAGAAAAGCACTGCCTTTTATTAGATGCTATTTTAAATCTGGTGATTTATGACCCAATACGGGGACCTGTGACATTCCAGCCCAGAGGTGCTCAGAACTTTGAAGGGCTGCTAACACACACACTGTGGGGCCCACCCCCAGTGTCTGATTCAGGAGGTCACTCCTAGCAAGTTCCCAGGGGTTGCTGATGCTGCTGCTCCGGGAACCCACTCTATGGACCAGAGATCTGGCCTAGGAGTAGAGCCTGGAAAATGTTAGAATGGTCTTCGGGGTGAACACATCCCTGTACTTCTGAGGGAGTCCCTGGGTGGTACAAAATGGTTAAAGCTCTCAGCTACTAACCAAAAGTCTGGAGGGTCGAATCCACCCAGAGATGCCTCGGAAGAATGGCCTGGCAATCTACTTCCAAAAAAAAAAAATCCACCATTGAAAACCCTATGGAGCACAGTTCTACTCTGACCCACGTGGGGTCACCATGAGTCGGAAGCAACTCCATAGCACCTGCCAGTCACAGGGAAACTCACCCGCCACCCCTACAGGCAAGGCAGCAAAGACGACTCTAAATCATAGCATCTGTCTGCAGAACTGAGGTGGGGTGTGAGGCAGTCCTATGCTTTCATCCAAAAGAAAATCATAAATGCAACCAACGGGGTTTGCTGCCATGTACCAGTAGCTCTGGGTAACTAGGACACAACCAGGAGACCCCTCATGGAGATACCTGAGGAATTGGCTCAGCTGCAGGTCTCTGCCCCTTCCCCACACCCGAAACGCACTTCCGGGGACACCTGCTGCGACTCTCCCCCCCTCCCAGAGCCTTCTGCTTGTTTTACTTCCCAGTGACCTCCCCCCGTCTCCACTCACCACCTGAGAAATGTGGCCTCAGGTAGCAAACAGGAGGGTCAGAGTGGAGGCCTCCCGTCACACCCTTCAGTGTCCTGATGGGCCAGGGTTAAAACTGGCCCATTCGCTGTGGGGACCATGGTCTCGGGAAACATCTAGGTCAACTGGCATAACATAGTTTATAAACAAAATGTTCTACATTCTACCTTGGTGAGTAGCGTCTAGGGTCTTAAAAGCCTGTGAGCAGCCATCTAAGATACTCCACGGTCTCATCCCTTTGGGAGCAAGGGAGAATGAAGAGAACAGGATACAAGGGAAAGATCAGTCTAAAGGACTGGTGGACTACAACTACCACGGCCTCCACCAGACTGAGTCCAGTACTACTAGATGGTGACTGGCTACCACCACTGACTATTCTGACAGGGATCACAATACAGGGTCCTGGACAAGGCTGGAGAAAAATGTAGAACAAAATTCTAACCCACAAAAAAGACCAGACCTAGTGGCCTGACAGAGACTAGAGAAATCCCCAGAGTATGGCCCCCGGACACCTTTTTAGCTCAGTAATGAAGTCAGTAACAAGGTTCACCCTTCAGCCAAAGATTAGACAGGATCATAAAACAAAATGAGACTAAAGGGGCACAACAGCCCAGGGACAAGGACTAGAAGACAGGAGGGGACAGGAAAGCTGATAATAGGGAACCTAAGGTCAAGAAGGGAGAGTGCTGACATGTCGTAAGGTTGTTAACCAATGTCATAAAACTATGTGTGCTAACTGTTTAATGATAAATTAGTTTGTTCTGTAAACCTTCATCTAATGTACAATTAAAAAAAAAAAAAAGTGGCCTGTCCGCCTCCTCACCATGTGATGGGCAATGCTCAACTCGAATTCCTTACATCTACTTAAGAACAATTTGGGGCACTGCCAGAATTCCAGGCTTGAACATCAAAATATCAAGCCCTATGCTTTACACTAAGACATGCTGTTGTTTTATCTTCAAAATGCACCTTGACGTTCATCCTCAGTGTGCACACAAGTGAATGTGTCAAATACCTCACAGGACAACATGTCTCTGCGTAATGTTCCCAATGCCATACAGACCACCAAGAATACCAGGCCACAACATGCTCCCAACGACAGAAAATTTAAAAAGATACAGCAAAAAAGTAGCTGATCGGAGGTCACAAAACTACCCGATGGAATTGGAGTCTTCAGCCCCAGTTTATGCTGACTTCTCCATCTAGACAGCGTCTCACACTCAGCAATCACTGGCTGACTTGGTATTGTTCCACCCAGGCTCTCTCTGACCCATCAGACCAGCAGAGAAACACTGGGTCTCAAAGGCTCAGGAGAGGCTCAAGTGGAGAATCCTCTTCACAGTGGATTTTGCTGGGGGGTCTGGCTAATGTCAGAAAACACATTTTGAGATACCCTCCATTTAGAGAGAGGCAGTTCCATAAAACACACTGAGAGTGCTTGAATAGCCGTGATAACATGGAATTCCACGATAACACGGAAACGCCATGGATTTCAAACTGGGGTCCCTGAAGCTGATCATCTTTTTCAAGTATCTGAACATTCTTTTTGATATTTTAGCACAGCGTGGAGGAAACAGACCAGTTTAAGTATGTCCACAGAGAAATGCAGCCAATGTTGACAACTGCTTATCTTCTTGTTTTCAGATTTTCCAGCGTTTCTACAATGACTGTTGTGTTTTTGTAACTACACTCAAGCCTTAGAGGGGCAGTAACGATCCCATGAAAAGAACTCTGTAAGAGAGCTGCTGGCTATAATTGACTAGAGGAAAGGGCGCAACACGGGGTGAAAAGCCTAGGCACTCTACACCTTCAGCAAATAACAGATTGGCACACAAATTAAAGGATATTCCCAAGTACAGTGCTCCATTAAAAAACCATCTATGAGACCAAAAGGTCAACAATTACTCTAAAGCAAAGATGAGAAGATAAGGGGGGCAAGGAAACTAGAGTACTGGAAATGGAACAACCAGAAAATAAAGAGAATGCTGACACATTGTGAAAAATGTAACTAATGTTACTGAACAATTTATATAGAAATTATCAAATGGAAACCTAATTTGCTGTGTAAACTTTCACCAAAACACAATAAAATATTATTTTAAAAGTCTACATGCTCTAGAAGTGTGGTGAAAACAAGGGAATCATGGAATCCTTAGAAGCTACAGAAAGCTCCCTACCTAAGCCTGCCCTGCAGATGAGCAGAATTCCTCCCCAAAACAACCAAAGGTCCTTCCTAAGCCCCAGCTACCAAGACTCCCCAGAAGTCTGTCAGAATCCTATCCTCGCTCTGTGTCAGGTAGATCGTTCCTGAAGAGCTGTGTGACAACCGTGCGAAGTAATGAAACTCTGAGTGCTTGTCCGTCTGTTTCAGAAAGCCCACACCATGCGGTTCCCGTCAGCAGAGTAAGACTGATTATTCTCATCAATACCTACAACGTCACTGCTGGCTCCCGCGGGGCTGAGGCAGGAAGCCTGGCTCACTGCTGAGCAGGGGGCTGGCAGGTCCACACACAACATTCCAGGAGGCGACTTCCGAGAAGGTTTGGGACACAGCAGGTTCAGTCGTCTCTACCCTGGCCAGCCCCTTCCTCCCCATCTCACACGTGGCTCAGACACGCTCCAAGCCTGCGGCCTTGTCATCACCTTTGCTCGGGAAAACAACTCACCTCCGGCCCCGTGTATGCCAACAAGTGGGCCTGTTAGTAAGTGTGTACAGTGCTCAAACACTGCCCCAAAGTGTTTTAAACAAATCCAGCCTCCTCCATATCGACCCCAGGACTGTCCCCTGAGAAATGGGGCCCGATTATCACACCTCAGCTGTGTGTGTCCAAGTCCGACAGGAGATGAGGGGAAATACTATAAACCACTCTCCTTCCACTTGAGGCTAAAGACTGCACTTACAAAGTCAGAAGTGGGTCGGCTCCAGGCAGACAGCCTTGAACATGGGGCCCTCCGATGGGCCGCAGGAGGAAGCAGGAGGGGCAGCTGGGGGCCTCCAGAAACTTAAAATTACTTTAGTGCAAGCATATCTTTTTAATGTTTACTTTTGACAAATGAAATTCACTCTCTCCATCTCACTTCAAGCTAATAAAGAGCAAAGATAGTATTAATTATCTATAACACTGGGTTCAGAAAAATTTCCTGAGTTCAGATAATGCCAATCAAAGGAGAAACTACGGCCTAAACAATCGTTTCTATATACATTTGTCTACTGAGGGTATACGTGTATGCAATTGTTTTTAATTCACATGTGTTACTGAAATGCAAATGTCTAGTAAAACTTGGAAGCGAATGGCTTGAATTTCATTAAAGAACAGGAAGGTGTTAACTCTGTCTCCTCCTCTGGGCCTCAGCATGCAAGTTGCAGGAGTCTTCTCAATAAACGATAAATGCTAAAATGTTCATACAGAGTCATCTTGACTGATTCTACCTCAAAACCCAAAAGCTGTGGCAGAACCCCCACATCCGCACAGCCCCCCGACCCTGGCTTGGATGTAAGCCACAGAGAACACTAGGGAAAGTGAAAAGACAGCAAAAGCCAGAGGCCAGCCTGCTCCAGGCCCCAAGCACCCTAACATGTGAACTAGTGCTCACGCTCCATGCAGCCGCGTGCCGTGCTCGCTGCCACCAGACGCGCAAGTCAGCGGAGGGTACGTACGGCAGGTGTACACATCTCTGTACTCCATGTGCTCGTAATCGGGAAGGATTTTCATGAAACGTCCCGACTTCACGCGTGGGTTTATACCTGGACAGACACAGCAGGGAGAGGGCTGAGATGGTTCTAGTTCTCATGACTATGCAAGCACATCTCGTACCATTCAACACCCGCTTCCTCACCAACATCGCCATTCCTTCATATAGTCAACAACCGAACACACTGGGAAGCTACAGACCTGGCTACAGAGAAAACTTTGTGAAATGTTTACCTTTAGGCCAATGGATTCCAACCCTGAAGCTTAGTATGGGAAGCCACCCCTTGATACCACCCTCGCTCCTCCTCTCCCAGCGAGCCCCTAGCATGCCTCCTGGCCGTGGATCAGTGGGGTCCATGGGGCCCCAGTGAAGAGGGAGAGTAGGTGGTTGTGGTTCTGGATCTTGGGATAACTGTTCAGGGAATCCTGTGCCCCGTAAGACATGCACGGAGCCCAGTGGGAGGGCGTGTCTGCCTTTGCCTTTGTTTTGGGGTATATTTATTTGGTTTCTGATTAAGGAGTATGTTTCCCAGCCTCGTAACTCCACGTCTGACCTCCTGACTTCTAAGTTCAGGCCGGTCGATGCCACCACCTGTTCCAGAAGCCAAGGTTGTTTTCCTTCTACCACCTGCTCCAAAAGCTACGTAATGTCCTCCTGGGTGAGGCGTGGAAAGCAGATTCACAGAAACCAAGCTCCTGCACTGTGATCACCAAAACCAAAATTCACTTTGGCCAATGAGGGCCAGACACTTCAGGTACTAAGTAATAGATGACAACTATTCTCCAAATTCAGTAAACATTCTAAAGAAGTCAAGAATCAGCTATCAAAAGGAAGCTACAGGTGCCGCTGTTTTGCCCATGAATGTCTCCATCAATGTCCCGTCCATCTAGACACTTGTATGTGGACTCAGCTCACGGTGGCCTCCTTCCCTCTCCCTTGCTTGCCCATGACATGCCCTCAGCCACACTGTCTCCTGCACACGCGGTCAGGACACACTCACCTCCTGCTTGCGCCCATACATCCTCCCACATCGGCCTCGGCAACCTTCTCTGCTACAGCCGAGTGGGGCTGCTGGAAGCGGTCGCTCAGCACATGTGCTCCCCATTGGGGCCACAGGACACCCCTTAATGCCTGGACAGGCACCAACATCTAACATCCATCTCTAAACCAGTTGCTGTCAAGTCAACCCTGACTCAACGGTGACCCATGTGTGTCACAGTAGGACTGTGCTCCATAGGGTTTTTAATGACTAATCTTTCAGAAGCAATTTCCAGACCTTTTTTCCAAGTGCCTCTGGGTGGACTCGAACGTCCAACTTTTTGGTTAGCAGCTGAGCATGTTAACCATTTGCACCACCAAGGACTTGTCTGTCTCTCTAAAGGGTGTTATTTTTAGTGCTTTTAACCCTTAAAGAGAAAGCAGCCTTAACGTCACTTCGCGATGATATAGGCCAAACGGCCTAACAAACTCAAGAAACAGTTACGAGATGGGAACATGCTGTATTAGACACTCCTAAAAACCAGCTGCCCATCCGAAAACAGAGCCCAGACATCTTTTTGTATATACACGTGCAGGCTCTTGTAAGGAGAGGTGGGCCTGACTCTGATGTCCATGCTGACAGTAAGCATCACTTCCCCGGGTTCTGGGCTGTGCGTGGATTTAAGACGCTGAACTCTGGGCACACAAGGGAAGAACTGGCAGTAGAGGCCAGAGCTGGACTCAAGACAAGGGCACCTGGACACCCCGGGGCAGAGGGCATGGAAAGAAGGGGATGAGGGAAAGCCTGGAAGAGATACATCAGCTTTCTGCTTCTGGGCTTTGCTGGTTTCAAAGCAGCACTGCCCTACCAGGTGAGAGAAGTGAAAACAAGGAGGCCATGATGCTGTGATGACGTGTGACTGCCAGCCTCCTAGATCACCCCCCGGGAAAGATGCCGCATGTCTGGCTCAGGGTGGTGGAACGCAGGGCAAGGCCGGCAGGAGAGGAGACCAAATCTCTGAACCTGCACAGGGAGCAAGGCCTGGGACACCCTGTGCCAGCCCGCTCTGTACTGGAGTTCAGGGACAAAGACAGGAGAGGGGGAAAGAGCCAGTGTAAGTGATGGGGCCGAAGCCTGCAGGACAGTGCAGAGAAATGGGAGCATGCGGCTTTGGGAGGGGCCAGGGGTTGGGGCTGCAAGCATGGCAGGTGGAAAGGACGGAGCAACGAGGTGCAGAGGGTGTCCCCACACTCTTCTCTGGGGCACGCAGGGAATGGCACCAAGGGGGGTATGTCTTGGCTGCGGGTTAGGGGCTCCACAGGAATCCACACCCTGAGGATGGTCTGGCTGTGAGCTAGGGACCCCAGGAATCTATACCCCGAGGATGATCTGGCTCTCAGAGGGAGGCCTATAAGGATCATAAGTGAGAATCTCCATTTTAAACGTTCAAAGAGATCTCCCTAAGAGTCAGCCCCAAATTCTAGCCCAGAAATATGAACCTACCCAACAATCCTCACCCCAGATTGATCTGGGGGATCAAGTGGGAAGAAGTCCCTCTGGGGAGCAGTCAGGATTCAAGGATAGAAAGCACCCCTGTGCCTCCTTGTGCCAAGTCAGCCACTCCAGACAACTTGGCTCCAACTGGGCAGGAGAGGGTAGGCATGCACGTGAGGGGACCCTAAGTGCAATGCAGTGAAAAGAAGGACTATAGCAGGTGACACCAGCCAACAAACCCCCAGGCAAGGAAGGAAGCTTCCAGAGCTCCTTCCCACCCCTAGCCAGGTCCCCAGCCCACCACCGCACCTACTCACACCCCAATCCTGAGCCACAGACATGTCAGCAGCCCAGCAATAAAGGCCTCTCAGTTCCTGGGCCAGGTATTTAGTAAGGAACAGCAGCTGGTCTAAGCTATCAACAGAGAACTTGGTAGAAAGTTCAAGAGAATGTGAAAACCAAAGTCTGCCAAGCTGGTTTAAAGATGAGCCCTTAAGGTCCTGTTCAGAGAGGTCACCAGGTCAATTTTAGGTTGAAGAGCCCTGGATTGCCACCTCTCACTCTTACTTGTGTCCCCCTCTGTGATCAGTCACACGTCACACTAACCCCCTGACCCAGTGCTGGGCGCCCCCCCACATCCCAGCCCACGGGGTGAAGTTGTTCCCGACCCAGCACCTCCCAGTCAGCCTCCTCCTCAGAAACATCCGAGATAATGTTAGTGTTTAATAGGCGCCTTCGGTATCTTAATCAAAAGAAAGGAGAAATGTGAACATTCCCTGCCTGAAGAACTGGAAAGGTAGCTTGGGAGGCTGGGGAGACTTTCAGCACTCATTAAATGTCATTGATGATCTGCAAAGCAAAGGAATCAGAGAAACACGCAGTATGGAGGTGGCGGAGGCTCAGCATGCCTACAGAAACCAGTCTTTAAGCACTGGTAGAGGGAAAGAGAACATAGCTGTCCACACACCCGATCAGGCTGTGGGTCCAGCATCCAGGGAAAGGTGCAGCTCTGGAAGCAACCAGGGTTGTTTCCAACACAGTTCACCTATCTCATGGCTACAGGTCCCCAAAGCCTAGTAACACACCTTTACTCACGAGGGACTGAAGAGTTAGGGCAATAGCATGCCCAGAAAAGAGAGCCCCCCTCAATTTTAGTGCTGTGACTACCAGCTCTGTTGTAAGTCAATGAAGACTTTAGGACAGTGTCTGAGAAAATGGAACTGTGATCAAATCACCTTTATGGCCCATCACTGATACCTGCCCCAAGAGACTGCTTTGAGAACAGAGTTAATGATGGGTGGGGACAAAGGGTAACTCACGCTTGGCATAGACGTCACGACAGGACACACCCGTGATCTCCAGCTTCCGCAAGTTTTCACAAACACCATACTCTGTAAAGAGAAATGTATGCTAAGAATTAAAATCAAGAAATCACAGAGCAACAGACATAAACAGACAGACACACATATGCAGCCAGCAAGCGCCTGTCTCGGCCTTGTCTACTAGGTTTCAGTCTGTCTTTCCTTGTGGAGGTTTTAAGGGACTTCTCCACGTTCTGTCAACACGCTCATTCACCGATGAAGCCATTATTCTACTTTGGTGAACATCACCTTCAGTGAAACAATAACCTCATATTCTAATAAGCTCTAGAAGCCTAACAGCGCAAACCAAAATCAGACATCCCATCTACAAGTGAGGTGCTGCAGAAATTTAGATACCTGGAAATGACACCATGTTCCCATGGAAAGAGGTTACCATTGGTAGTTAGTGTTCCAGGCAGCCACAAAGCCCTCTTTCACTCACAGCTTAGCTCCTGGTGCTGATAACTCTATTAAACCAAGTCCCATGTCCTGCGCTGGGGAGGCCATGGTGAGACACTGGGAAGGCTGGGACATTCTTGGTCCCCCTTCCTTCAGGTGACCCTAGACCAGCAGCTGAGGAAGGGGTCCTGGACACCTTCCTGCCCCCCTCCACCTCCTCACACCTCACCCTGGCTCATAGTGCCCTCCTGCTTCCTCCTCTATGTCCCTCACTCCCACCTTACCCCGGCTTCCCTTTTCAAGATCACCACCGCCATCACTTCCCAATCGGAATCTCTGGCCCTTTTGTTCAGGCCTCAGCCACACTTTGAAAGGAAAGAAACATAACTGAATGAATCCACAAAGGCAGACTTGCCTGTTAGCCAAGAGCTGACAATAATAACACCTGCCAGCTGTCAACCATTTCCATGTGCTGGGCACAGTGCCACGGACTCAGTGTGCAATCCCGCACTCACCCCTCCCACAATCCCACGGGAGAGGCACCACTGCTGCCTCCGTTTCAGTGATGAGAAAACAGGTGCAGAGACGGGACACGGCTTGCACAAAGAACATAATCTTGCCATCAGTGGGCCCAGAATGGACGCCCGGTAGAAACACCTCCCTCAGGTGAGCGCAGCACCGACACAGGTATGTGCTCAGCGAAGAGGCGTGGTGAGGCTCCCTCCCGGGACTTCATAGCTACATGCATCACCACTACCCCTCACGATGCGCAGGTCTCGAACAGCAGCACGTGGGGCTTCATGCAAAAGGTCTTAGCAATCCTGGGCACGCCTTTCAGGCCGGGGTCACTGCTCCCAGTTTGAGAAGGACACAGAGGCTTGGCAAGACTGGGGACTTATCCGAAAAATAAGTTTTCAGATCTCAACTTCAAAAAATAAGGGGCGGGAAGAACGATATATTTTGGTAGGCTGAGTCTACTCACTAACTAATTGTGTGTCACACACTTACTTGGAGGGTTTGAAACTGGAGCCATCTTAAAACCTTCATTAATCAACTCATTTGTCTTTAGGGATCCAGGGTGTTCCCAGCAGGCACTGGGAGAAATTAAAAACAAAAAAAATCGAAGATAGGCGTAGAAAGTAAGAGACAGAGAAGGCTGGAGAGCAACTTGACCAAGACCTTCACTGAATGTAACACACCCTGTGGGGCTACACCTCTCCGGGGGTCTGCGTTACGCAGATGAGGCCAGAGGAAAAGGACCCGAAATGGAGTTTCGGAACCTCCTCCAAGGAGCGGGCCATGCAGGCTAACCAGCGGTTCACAACCACAGAGTCAAAATAACACTGGCGCATCTGCAGCTTGCCCCATTGTCCGTGGAGCCCACGGGTGCTGGGTGACATCTGAGGCTGGCCTTTAAGGCACAACCAGGGACTGGAGAGAATTTCCTGAGCAAAAATGTGTCAACACTGGAATAATAATCGAGAAAGACTATGAGATTTTCTCTAGTTTTGTTTGTTTTTAGAACTCTCTGGTGGTCGATACTGATTTCCTGGAAATACCATTGCCTTCAAGTTGATTCCAACTCATAGCGACCCTGCAGGACAGAGTAGAACTGCCCCCTATGATTTCCCAGGCTGTAATCTTTATGGAAGCAGAATGCCAGGTCTTTCTCCCACGGAGCCATTGGATGGGTTCAAATCACCAGCCTTGAGGATCACACACGTTAACATGAGTTGGTAAAGTGCACAGAGCGGGGCCAGACACTATAGGAGGGATCACATGAGTACGTCTGTCCCCGGAAAGGAAAGCCATTTAGGATAGAGGATGGGTAGGTGGCATGACTCCACTCCTCCCAGCTATCAACACTTTTTACAATTTTTAACAGCTTCACTGAGATATAATTCACATCGCATACAATTCACTCATTTAAGTGTACATACAGTTCACTGGTTTTTAGGATACGCACAATCATGCAACCATCACTGCAATCAATTTTAGAACATTTCCATCACCCCACACCCATTAGCAATTGTTCCCCATCCCCCCAGCCCTGTTGTTGTTGCTGGCTGCCATGGAGTTGACTCCAACTCATATCGACCCCATGTGACAGAGTAGAACTGCCTGATAGGGTTTCCTAGGCTGAAGTTTTTATGGAAGTAGACTGCCGCACCTTTCTCCCACAGAGCAGCTGATGGGTTAGAACCGCCGACCTTTTGGTTAGCAGCCAAGGACTTAATCCCTGTGCCAGCAGGGCTCCTTCCTGGAACTACAGGAATAAACAAATCAACAGGTCTTTAATGAAAATGTCTAGTGTCATTCAGTTAAGTTCTATGGGGAAATAAAAGAATAAGGTCTCTGTCGACAAGGAGTTTCAACAAAACCAACACATGCATTGTAGACAGAAAAAAGAAACCAATCTATAATAATTAACATTTAGTTCATGTTACAAATAATTGGAGCAGTAAACATGTTCATTTTTTTAATCTATAAATTAAGGGATTAAAGTACATAATCTATAAATTTCCCCTAACATTCTATAGTTCTAATAGAGAATAAAAGAATACTCAACAGCAAATACTGACAGATAGAGAGAGGATGTGATAAGAGAGCTCAGCTCTGGAGGAAAAGGCAGGCAGCTTGTCCACCAAGCCCAGTGTTCCAGGCGGCTGCGTTCCTGAGATGATGCGTCACCCACCCCGCGCCCAACCCCGAGAGGGACTTGCAGCAGGCACTGGCCCCGCGCCACCATCAACCTCACATTCTGACAGTCAGCCCACTACACGCAGCTCCTCTACCCTCCCCCGTGTTCTATTAAAATTTCATTGCAGATATATTGGTGCTAAACATTCTGTTCTTCCGATTGATTGGTGGAGGACAGTTATTTGTGTAAAGTGCAGTGCTGCAGACTCTCTGCCCTGCCTCCCCGTTCTCCACACCTCAGAATCATTGGGGGCCTCCTCATCCACCTGGGGGATCACCAGGCCTCCCTGGTTTCTCATCATCCCACCTCACACATCTCACTTCTGTCACTCTCCTCCTAGTCCACGCCCTGTCACCTCAGCCTGTGGTATTGCTTCCTGGGGAGTGTTTTAGAATGAGGGGACCATTTATTTTTTCAGTTCTTTTGTTTAATAAATTTTACTTTGTACAATGGTTTTAGATTTACAGAAAATGGTAAAGCTAGTACACAGGGTTCCCATACACCCTGCACCTCGTTTCCCCTACTGTTAACATCTCACTTTAGTGTGGTACACTGGTCATAGCTAACAACCCAGTGCTCGGATGTTATCATTAACTGAAGTCCATACTGTACATGGATTTCCTTAGGTTTTCCCTAATGTCCTTTTCCTACCCCAGGATGCCACGCAGGACACAACATGACAATGCAGGTGGCACCGTGGACCAGTTGAGAGGGGCCACATTCACCGAGGGCATCTTAGGGAGTGGGAACAAGTGGTCTACCCCAGCCTCCACTCTACTATTAAGCTACAATCACCATTTCCCACTGGCTCTGTTGAATGCAATGACAAGCAAGTGGTCCCTCTGAGAACCACCAGCCTGCTGTCACTATTGGGTCTGGCTCTCCATAAACACATTTTGTCCTCCTGTTGTACAAACGACGCACTTCAGAACTGTTACCACCTACAGGAATGGTGTTTAAGTTTGTTTTCTGTTCGGTCTTGAAGGACGGCTCCTTTTCTCAGTTCATGCAGGTCTGCAGCACATGCAAAAATGGGCAGGGAGAGTCTCTGAGTGCCAAATGACAAGACAGTTTGAACGCTGCCTGGTGGTCCTACTCCTCCACACTGCACACTTTGATGTTGTTACGTGCCATAGAGTTGATCCTCACTCATAGCGACCCTATATGACTTTGATAGCATGTGTTAATTTCACCTGCAGGACGTGCTTATCCTGGTGACAGGAGGGCACAGACCTGCAAAGGCATCCACCTGTGCTCATTTTGCTTCCGGTGCCCGAAGCCTTGGCAAGGCATTTAGATTATTCTTTAGGCAGTTTCTCTCTGCTCAGATTGCTGAAGGCTGGTGACTTGGTTTATGACGTTTGTATTTGAGTCCAGTGCATACTCTAATATGATGGAAACAATGCATTCATTATCTTTTGATAATCGCCTGGACTTTTGAATGATCCCAAGGTATTTCGCTCAAACAACCACATCATCAAGCCTGAGGTCACCATAAATCTCTGCCTACTATGTCAAGAAATGGTAGTTCACTATTAAGTAGAAGATGAGCTTGCAAGACCAGATAAATCAACCATAAAAATGTCATTAACAAGCAGAAGAAAAAAAAAATGATGATGTAGTGCTAATCAACATAGCAACCCTTAGTGGGTTTTTTGCCTAATGGCCCCGAAAGGCCATAATGAACTCACTGGAGTAGAATAATGTCATTCTGACCCAACTGTTCCTGCTAGAAATGTTCAGTATTTTCCACATGATGGAAGAATATTTTTTAAAATAGTGGCTAAGAACAATTCCACATCCTCTTATTGTTCTTAAACCTATCCATAAGTCATCAGGGGAAACTGCCTTTAAAATAGTTTTTAAGACCAAGTGTACTTGCCAGCAACCCTGGACCTTCCCTTCCAGAAGAGCTAACAAGTGTCCATCCCATCCTTGTGCACCGATCTTATCCCAGATGACTAAAAGTTAGCCCACCCACCCATGTTGGCCATAGCTGCTTAATAAAAAATGGATTTAGTATAGCTGCCATCAACTCAAAATCTTTCTTTGTTAACCTATTACATAAAGTAGCTTATGAAACTCTTTTTTAAAAGAGTCTGCTCCAAAGATGCCAAAAGGGGAGAAACCCCAAGAATATGGCCCCTGGACACTCTTATAGCTCAGGAAGGAAGTGACTCCTGAGGTTCACCCTTCAGCCAAAGATTAGACAGGCCCATAAAACAAAACGAGACTAAATGGGCACACCAACCCAAGGGCAAGGACAAGAAGGCCGGAGGGGACGGGAAACTGGTAACAGGGAACCCAAGGTCAAGAAAGGGCCAGTGTTGACATGTCGTGGGGTTGGCAACCAATGTCCCAAAACAATGTGTATTAATTGTTTAATGAGTAACTAGTTTGCTCTGTAAACCTTCATCTAAAGTATAATGAAAAAAACTTAAAAAAAAAAAAAAAGATGGCAACAGGGTAAGAAAAGTTGGAAAGGAGGAGAAAAATTGGGTGACCTGGACTTATCGAAACTCATAAACTTAAAAATGTTCAATACTCAAATATTTCAACCAGAAAGATTCCAAAGAGTGATTTTGAAAATGCTTTGCCAGGAGGGAAAAACCAGCCTCATCATTTAGATTGATGAGGCTAACATCGAGCTACAGTCCTCTCTAACCCAATTATCAAAGGCTGCCAATCGCGCAACACTTATTCCATATCCAATGGTACTCCAAAAAAAAAAAAACAAACCTGTTGCCATTGAGTCGATTCCGACTGATAGCGACCCTATAGGACAAAGCGGAACTGCCCCACAGGGTTTCCATGAAGCAGCTGGTAGATCTGAACTGCCGACGTTTTGGTTAGCAGCTGAGTTCTTAACCACTGCACCAACAGGGCCTGTCTACAGCGCTCAGTACTGTGTAACGCAGTTTAGCAAAAAATAATAATAATAAAAGAAATTAAAATAAAAAAGTCTCTGTCCTCATAGAACGTTTCTGAACATGCATCGCTTTGACATCTAGTGATTTCCATCTACGGGTGGAGATGGTTTAGAATGGTTGTCTCTCTCCCTCACTTTCCCATTCGTCCCCTTTCTCTCCACCTTCAGGAGAGCCAAGGATGCACAGCTCCTTCCTGAGGTTCCCAGCCTCGAAGAGAAGCTAGGGTGAGGATGGCACCCTTGTAACAACGAGTAATACCTGCACATGCCGTGAAAGCATCAGAACAGAATGCAGCAAAGAAATCCAAGGCCATTGTTCTGCACACGGCATCGGGATTGGGGGATGACAATTACAGGGATTTGGCATCATCCTCCCAGTAAACGCCACTTACTGAGGGCACTCAGCCACGTCAGAAAGGCACTGCAATAAGACGCTATCTGAAGCAACTCTGCACATTTACGAG